TGAAGAGGTATCTAGGAAGAGTTTTGGTTTACACATTCATTTTACACCTCAGCTTAATTCATGCTGTTAAGAAAATTTAATTTCTTTGTGCGTGTTCTAGAACATAGCTAATAGATTATCCTACTCTACTGCTGTCCCTTCTAAGCACAAATTCTGCCTTTAACTAAGGGCTGAAGACTGAGCCATCCTCTGAAAAATACTCAAGAATTAGCTTAGATGAGTCACTAATTTGAGCTCAAATAAAGAAAACCCAGAAATTCTCTCCTTATTTCACAGTGGACCTAACTCTAAATTCAACCCTAAATATAAGGATAAATCTTTCAAAACTCACTGTTTTCTAGGCTTAGAGGCTAATTTGCTCCAGGTGAGCCCAGCACTCAGTCACCTCACTTTAAGGACAGACAACTGTGGCACATCTTTTGCACAGGGAAAACATGCCAGCCACTTGCTAGCTGGGTCATATATACCTTTTCAAAGTAATTTATTTAATTTAAGATGTATAGATCCAAAATTAAACAGCCCAGGGAAGAAAGAAAGCAATCATTTTACTCACTTGACACGTGCTGTCCTGGGGAGAGTTCAATTTGTAATAGTAGTAAATCATTTACAAAAAAAAAAAAAAAAAAAGAATACAGTTTAAATCACTTATTTGTTCCACACAGCAGAAGATAAGCACGTGGTGTACAAACTCCATGGAAATAACAGTATTTGTATTGCATATTTTTCTGGAAGAATTTATCACTCCAACTTTTGCTGCCTTTGTACTTCAGAGGCAAGAATTATTACATAGAAAAGTCTGTTTCTTTTCTCAGCCATTTTTTGAAATGACTGGATAGTGATCCTGTATTTGAAGGTGCTTTATTTGCCTCCCTGGGGGGGGGCCTTTTTTTCTGACATTATTGCATCCATCTAGGACAGATGTTTTCCACCTGTCTGAATCACAGTTACCAATGACAAACTCCATGTCATTGATAAAAACCACAGAGTTTCCCTGCCTGACCTGGCAGGAGCAGCTTCTCTTTTATTGTTGTAGGGTAACAAGTGTTACCAGGCAAGCACAGAAATAACCCTGGCCACCCACAAAAATGCAGTTTTGGGGTACAACTGCTGTGGCTGCACATACCCCATGCTGTGTTCTCCTCCTGCCTGGTGCACAACAGCAGGAGGTTGGCCATTGTTCACCATCGATTCACCACATCTTTCCATGCACGGAGCTCCTGATGGTGTATGATTGGTCAGGGAGAGACAGATGCCACAACCACCTCCATACTGAAAGAAAGCCCAACCCAGAATCCTGTATCAGCATTTTGGAGGGTCTTTAGCTTTTACATGTTATGTATACCTATTAAGTGCCTGTGTAGTGCATGTGTAATATGTGCAGGGCAGTGGACACGTTTGAAACCACTTGCAATCCCTATGCACTCTGCAAACAGCCCATGTGATAACCCGTCTTTAAGCAAAAACTAGAGGCTGCCTTTGGGCGATAAACACACAGCCTCTCACATTCTGCTCTCCCACCATCTCCCACCGCCGCCTCACTCCTCCATTACCGCCGGTGCAAGGGAAGACGCGCGATCCCGGGCTGCACCACACCGCTAAGGCCGGGTTGCCCCGACCCTACCGCAGCGAGGAGGCGCAACGCTCCCAGCCTAGGCCGCAAGGGGCGGTCCGGACACGACGCCTCTCGGCCGGGCGCAGGCGCCACCGTGAGCCCGCGGTGGAGGGCTAGCCGCCCGGGGAGGGGGCTCCATGCGCTGCCAGGTACGTGCAGCCGGCCGGTGCCTCTGGAAAGCGGGCACCGGCTGCAGGGGAGGGGGACGGTGGGGCGTCCTCAGGCCCGCTCTTCAGCGAGCAGAGGCAAGGCGGGCGAGGCCTGGGCGGCGGGAGCAGTACACGGATCCGCGCTGACAGACACCCCCCCTTCGCCCTTTTCCCTGCTCTCTTTCTGGCAGCCGGGGGAACGCCACAGAGCTTTATCGGCATTAAAAGAAAAGCAACCCAAACCGGCAGAACCAAACCCAGGGAAAGCTTTTTCTCACTCCTGTTTGGTTTCGGTTGTTTGTTTTGGTATTATCGGAGAAGTTAACGTGCAACAGCGCTGTTTTCCTTCGGTAGGCCCCGCTCCCTTGACGCCGTTTGTTCCCGGGCAGGTCTCGGTGCTGTATTTCGCCCGGAGCGCGGAGCTGGCGGGGCTGAGGAGTGAGACCCTCTCGGTTCCGCGCGAGATCACCGCGCTCCAGCTCTGGGAGGAGATCGTCAAGGTGCACCCCAGGTACTCGGCAGACCTGCTGCCGCGGCTTGTTTGGTAAACACAGGTTCAGCATTTGGAGTTGATCTGGAACACGTATCAGTACTTAGGTACCATAAACCCAGCATTACCTTGTTCTCGTAACCTGCATCAAGTGTTCTGTGTTTTGGCCAGCTGGAAGTGCTGTAGCTTTAGGTATAAACAGGGAAAAGCTAGGTCCAATAAATGTACACGAAAGTTAAGCCTGAGGGGTACCTTGGGTCTGTGGCCTGTTGTCTAGGAGGGCCAAGTGTGGTAAAACATGTTGCATGTGAGAACTGAGCTGTGTTATTAACCTGTGGAGAAGGTGAGATGGCTCAAGGAAGAATCAAACATAGCCAGGGCAATAAATAAATTAATAATAACAAGCAGGTGTTTCTTATCACTTACATTTAATGGTACTATTAGCCATTGGTCTGAGCTTACAGCATGCTCTAGAAGGGAGGTCAGGAAAGGAGCTGAAGCTCTGCCACAGGTTTCCAGCCACTCAGCCACTTACACAGTAGGTAGGCTTGGCCACTTTCTGTCTCCTCTGCTTTGAAAAAAAACCACAAACACCCACTGCTGCTGGCATTTCACAGGGAGTCTGGTCCTGAGAATGCGCAGGTGTGCACTATGAAGACCCATGTAGCACTCACTGCTGCTCTCTGGAGGTGTCAGCAGAAATTCCCCCTCAGGTTAAGGCTGAGAGAAGGTGCTCAGTCCTGTCAAGAATGAGTCTGATAGACAAAGGGACAAAGGTGCAAGACTGTTTTGGAAGGTGGAGTGAAAAAAAAAAAAAGCCAATAAAGGTATGGTATAACAGAGGTTGACGTCCTCAGGATTTAGTGCTTAATGCTTTGGAATTTCTAAAACTTTGGACTTAGGTGCCAGAGTCTTCCTTTAGGCACCACCATTTTTTATTTGGCCTGCTCTCAAAGGCAGTGAATAAAATTAACCATTTATCAACGCCATCTGTTTTCAAGTGTCATGCTCTAAGTTGGATCAGGGACCTTTTTCTTACAAAGAACTGAGTCTGTTTTTGGGGAGGAGGCAGTAGGGAGTGTATGTATTTTACTTTGCATCCTGTGTATTTTACTTTGTGTCAGAAGCCGCAGCAGCACCGTTTGTCAGTTTGCCATAGTTTGTCAACTTTGTCCTTTTATGAATGATGACTTGGGGCAGTACATTTTGCATGTGCATATACTTCACAGTGGCCTTCTTGGAAAATGCTTCTGCTTCTAGCTTTTCTGGAAAACCTCAACTTAACAGTAGGGCATTGACCACAGACTTCTATTCACATTGCTAATAGATATTCAGACTGCAGCTTGAGCATACTTGACAATGCTCTTCTGTTCCACCCATTTTCCCCAGTGAATTGACTCACAAATGACATTAATTAGAGCCCATCCTTCTAATGGGCACTTCAGTTTCATAGCTGTGCTCAGTTCCTTAGTGGCTTGCTTTACTTCCATACAGTCCTACCCTTCACCCTGCACACTGAGACAGTGCTACTGTGTTTTGCGCAGCCTGTGCCTTGCCTACTTTTGTCTATCTGGCTGGTAGGAAGTAAGATAATTTTTGCTTGTACCCTTTTGGCATGCCTGCTTGTTTCTAGGCGATACATCTTTCTGCTGTCAGTGCCAGATTTTGGAGTCTCAGTAGCAGTTACCACACTTGCACCTTCTAAAGAAAAATGTTTGCATTCTTTTTCTTGTGTCTTACTGGTGTTGCCCTCATATTCACCATTTGTCTGCACTTAGTCATGAAAGTGAGTCCATGCCTCATGATACCGAGAGCTGTGGACTCTCACAGCAAGGCCTCACAGATGTGAAATCCAAAATTATGTAGAAGATCTGCCAGAAAACACACCATTATCTGCCTTCTTGGTTCTGTACCCACTCCTTATTAATAGTAAATTTCAGACCTGTAAGTACAAAAGACCTAAAGCCTCATAAACTGTGAGGTTATGCAAGAGCAACTGTCTGACTAGTGGATCTTCATGAGATCTCACAAACAGCATCCCATAATGCCTCTTGCCATGTAAGAAAATTGCTGTAGTCCAGCCAGGCTGAATCAAGGGAGCATTTCCTTCTAATCCCAGATTGGATGATTGCTGCCTCTTGAGTTACCTACTTTGTTAGAAGCTGCTGAAGTGCTGAAGTGGGGTTGGTGTGCATTGGTTCATTCTGATGCAGGCCACTGACAGATGCAGTTCTTGACTTCTGAAAGGTACACTGAGTTGGTTTCTGCATAGCCACCATAAGAGAACCTGAGTAGGAGTGTTTGTTGTATTTTTGAAAGTGTATTGCAAGCAGGGTTGTGTAAGTCTCAATGCTGTTTACCTCAGCTGTGCTGGATAGTGCAGCACTTTGCTGTTTAATGAAATCTCATGTTTAAATGCGAACACTCTACTTAGAAATCTATTTGTGCTCCTGCCAATTCCCTTCAGGCTTGCTGTCATCCGGGATCAGGTAGTTTTTGCTGTTCGGCAGGAGTACGTGCTTCTTGGAGATCAGCTCCTGGTCCTGCAGCCTGGAGACGAGGTTGCCATCATCCCACCAATTAGTGGAGGATGAATCTACTGAAGTTCTGTTAGGTAGGTATCACTTCTTGCTTAGTTTCCTATGGAGTGTCATCCTGTGCTAAAATATTTCATGGATTCTGTGTAATGTTCCAGTAATATATTTATTTTTTATTTTTGTTTAGGTCGAGAGAGGTGATTGCAGTTCGGTCCCTCCATATTGATACTCTTTTGAGAGAACATAACTTGTTTTTCCTCCTGCAGAAAACGTTGACCAGAAACTACAAGTTAGCGCACCAGTAAATGATTAACGCATAAACGGTAAATGAAAGAAAATTGCCAGGGAGGTCAGTCATTGTTTTGAATTTGAGTTTTAGGTCTTGTTATTCTTTTGCAGTTGTTTCTGTCTGCCAGTGGATATGCAGCTTGCCAAGTAAGATAATAATGAAAAAACTCATGCCACTTTTTTAACAGAAGTGATGATACAGAAAAAGAAGTGACTGCTGCATTTTTTAATTTTCTTTATTTTTATTTTTTTTAGAATTTGCTGTCAAAGGAAGAGGTGTCCTTAGAATAGCTTCATTTCTTTGCATGCATTGAAGTAGCAGTCCATGTATTTTTTTAAGTCCCTTCTAACCCTAACAATCTGATTTACGGCAGCTTGTTCCTTTCCTGCTGCTCAAAATACTTTGTGTCCTTCTCATTCTTACATGAACTGATGACTGGTTTCTGCTCAGAGAAATTAGAAGTGTCTCCTGTGTCACTGGAACAGACTGGTAATATGAGGTCATAAATGTCCCGGAGAGGATTAGAAGTCGAATTCGTGTTTATCAGAAATCTCTATTTTAGTTTGTTTGATTTCTGGATGAGATAGGGAGGAGGGGTTAATAGTCTTGCCACAAATTTACTAGCACAGTGGTCCATGCTGGTTGATTGTACTCTTAAACTGAGGCCTCAGACTAGGTCTGGTTTTGTTCTACTGGAACAGACTTTCTTACCAGGAAAGAAACTTGTTTGCCTTAAAAACCAGGTCATTGCTTGATATTTGCAGTTGAGGCAAGGCTGCTGAGAAGTGAATTTGCCATGGAGACTGGTCTCTTGAGGCAAGGAAGTAGATGGTGCATGTTTTCTGTATAAATTGAGGCATCAGCACTGAATATAAAGCAGTTGGCCAGCACTAGTATTGCCAAAACCAACAACAGAGTTTGTCTGGTTTCAGCTTTTCTAGTGAGCTATGGATGAAAGCAAAGATGTGCCAAAAGATTTTATCAAGCTCAAGTCTGAAAAGCTCTCTGTAGATGAAGTGTCAGAGCTGGTCATTTCACCATGCTGTGGGGCAGTGTCTCTTTTCATTGGTGAGTTTAATATTTCTGAGCTGGATCTTTGGACATGTAAATATTCTAATTGTGCACACCCCAAACTCATGCTTCTCAAATAAACAAATTCCTGGACCAAACCCAGGATGTTTAGAAAACACGTTCTGAATTATTTAGAACAAGACCATGGCAGCTCTTGAACAGCTGCACTGGGACAAAGTGGTGAGAAGCTTCCTTGATGTTTCGACTGTCCTGGGGCTGAACAGAGCAACAGCTCTGGGCTACAGGATTGCCTGGGAGCTGTTTTCCCCACACCCTCGGCCATAACTTGTTCGAGGTGTGAAGTGGGATGTTGTGGCTAAGCAAATCACAGGTCCAAGCCTGTATGAAAGCTCCTGCAACACAGGTCTTGGTTGAATGGGGGGTGAAGGTTAAGCTTTAGTGATAGCTCTGTCCTGTTGCTTAACGTACATGGTACTCATCTAGAAACCCTTTTGTGTTTAAACCATAGTGCTACTGGTCTTCTAACTACTGAGCCCTTAAATGTTACACGGGCAAATGCAGTAATAGCACCTTAGCTGTTACCACAGGAGATATCGCAGCCTTGGGCATTACAGACTGCAGACTTGTATAAATTAAATTCTTCCTTGTCTATTAAAGATTTCTCTTGTTCAAAGAATCTGTTTACACAGCCATGATTAGGGGAGGTTTTTCGTACTTGCACAGTGCTGACCTTGACTGTAACGGAAGATCCGGGGTTTTATTTGGTATTTCTATGTAATATTAATAATAAATGTGTAATGTAATGTATTATAAACATACATATTTATTAGTGCTTTTGGTTGATAAATCATTTTAGGTACTACAAGAAATAATTTTGAAGGGAAAAAAGTGATTCACTTAGAATACGAAGCGTATATGTCAATGGCAGAGACTGAAATAAAGAAAATCTGCAGAGATGTTAGACAGAAATGGCCATCAGTCAAACATATTGCAGTGCACCATAGACTTGGGTATGTATGGCCAGACCCCATCCTTTTGCATGTGGAATATTAATCCTTGTCTGGTGCATGGCTGTGCTTACATAGTTGCAGGATGTGCAGGAGTCTTTTATAAACCTTGATGCAGCAAAGCTGGCTGTAGAATCAAGTTTGCACTGTGGAGCTAAGCTTTAGAAATTGTCTTTTCGAAGATGTGTATATAGATAGTGTTTGCTGGAGTCCACATTTAGCCAGCAGGATCCTTGATGCTGGTGTGATAGTTTGCAAGTGGGGAGAAGAGACTAGATTTCATTCTAGGATAGGGGAGGCTGTTGGTTTATTTGTTTATTTTTTTAAAGATGTGAAGTTGGCAGCACTTTTTTTTTTTTTTTCCTCTTTTCCATTCAGGTACCACAGAAAGTTCTTATTGTTAGATTGAAGTTAAATTATGCCATAGGGAAAGCTTAAGAAAGCTTAAGACTGTGGGAAGGGGAGAGGCATGGTAATCGCCAGCCATGTTTGCTGGAGAACCTCCTGTTGTTCCTTGAGTTTTGGATAAGCATTTTCTCTTGGGTTCAAAACGTGTAATGCTAGTGTCTGACATAGTCTTGAACCTTCACGGTTCATCAGATTTCTCACTGAAACTACCAGGTTATGCAGAGTATGTTGCAAGCACTTGTTTCCTTTTCTCTCAGCAGAAGGAGCTTAAAGAGGTGGTAATAAAGGGTAATATGAGCTCTGAGGGGTAGTTTCCTTAGATTTTCTCTATAGACAACAGAGGGAATGATTCTCTTGAGGGCTGAAAGCATTTAAACTTAGATTTTCATATGACCTCTTTGCCAAAGGAGTATTACTATAAAGGGGTGGTTGGTAGGCAACTCTTGGGGATATTACTCTTGTGAAGAACAAAACAAAATCTTGTGCTATTTCAGTTAATAACACACCAAACAGGAAAAACTTCATCATTTTAAACTCAAATTTGTCAAAAAGTTTTTATTGCAAAGTCTGCATAGTTTGCAGCACTTAATTTCTTCTTTCACAAATTCTTGTGCAAACTGAGATGATTTCTTAGGTTTTCAGATAAGAACTGGCTGTTCCTAACTTGTTATGGTTCATTGTTAAGCCAGTATCCAGTGAGTTTCCTATGTCCTGTTGCAAGCTAGTGATTTTTCCCATTTTAATTCCATAAGTTTTATTATTAAATAAAAGGGGGAGAAAAAAAGCTTATGTCTGGTGGGTTTATTTATAATGAATTGTGGAATTCTCACATCTGGTACTGATCTTGGTTGTGGTTTTCTTTCTTTTAAAAAGTGTATAATCTTCAATATGGCTTGACACTTACTCAGTATGAATGAGTCAGGAGAGTGTGTGGCCAGAATATTGACGTGACATGGCCACAGCTTTTGGGTGCTCTTGATGTTAAGCATTAGCTAAAGCTGCTGTTGTTCCTCTTCTCTCCCTAGTGTGGTTCCAATAACTGAAGCAAGTGTAATTATTGCAGTCTCCTCTCCACATAGAGCAGAATCCCTTGAAGCTGTAAGGTACTGCATCGATACCTTAAAAGCATCTGTCCCAATATGGAAAAAGGTATGTTTGGGGACAAACTTGATTTTAGGCCTGTGCCAGAGTCTTGGGCAGTTGGGCTGAAGGCTGCTGCTGCTCTTAAGGGAATCTGCTGAAGCACTGTGGGCAGCAGTTGCTCCTGATGGATGCTAAATGTCTAGCACCAGTGGATTTCCTCTAATGCAGCCAGGTGCACCTGTGGCAGGTGGGGCATCTAGAAGGCCCTCCCTTGCCTGTACCATCCAGCTCATCTTCCTTTAATGCCATCCTGGGATCAAAGAGAAGGGGCCCTGAGGTTTTCTGAGTGGCAGAACACAGTTCTGCACAGGCTTGTGGAAGAGCTTTGAGTCAGATTTGCTTTTGACATCATTGTAGTTTGCAAGTAAAAGTGGCTTTCTTGTATTTCTGTTTTCTCCTCATCCCTGTGGCTTTGAGAAAGCACAAAGCATTAAGCAACAGCACATAATGAAGGGATGAGCAAAGGTCCCAAAGCTAGTATGGGCACACAACAATGTGTGAGGAGACCAGCTTGGGTCTAGAAGAGCCTCATTGTATAACCACAGTGTTGCATGCAAATAAAGAGTCTTACCTCTGCCTTCTCTCCCAGGCAGAATTTGCCATGGGGTAAGTGTGATGTTCTCATTACTCCACTTTTCTGATGCTTCTTTCAGGAGACTGGGAGTTCTGTGGTCCCAGAAAGAATAAGCAGGTACTCAGAGCCCTGCTGCATTTGCTAGGTAGGACTGGACTGCTTCTGGGTAGTCCTGGAGGTTAAACAGTCACTGTATTTTGTGTATTGTAATTTTTATTTTTAATACATCTTATATAGACTTAAATGACCCCTATAAATTATGGTACAGTAACATGGCAACATGCAAAAAGGGCAGTTTCAGATATGAGTGCTGTAGACTCTACAGCTTTTATGTAATTTCTTCTAGATCTCTTTCTTGAATTTATTTCAGTATGGATGGGCCCTTCTAAATTTAATAGGGCTCAGCCTGAGCGTCATAATCTGCTCACATGTAAGTCAGTATGTTCTAAGGGTGCTGCCTTCTTTTCTGTTTGCTATCCAAGTGCTGTATAGTCCTGTTGCGATCAGTAAATAATAGCAGAATGGCTGTTGAGTTGTTTGGCCTGGCTGGTGGCTGTATGTAGCAGACTCCACAATATTTCCCGTTCTTTGTTTATATTTGCAGGAGATTTATGAGGACGAATATTCTTGGAAAGAGAACAAGGAATGCTTTTGGGCAAATTCAGGAAAATAGCTTAACTCTTAAAAATAAAGTGTTACTGTTTCTAATGAGCATAATGATTTAACTTTGAGTTGTTTTTACAAAGTATATATTTTAAGCAGGTGTACTAGACATTTCAATCAGTAATTTGATTAGGACTAAGTGAAATAAATGAGTACTAATTAGGTGTTCTTAACTCTCCTTTGAAACCATCTCTGTGCACTTTTGACATGGAGTAGTTTTTTAATAGAATTTACCTAAAATTCTTGATTGCGAATTGTTTTGTCTTCTGTGATACATACTACTTTAATGGGTTTACATTAGTAGTCTTTGTTCACTGACTGTATGGGAGGTCAAAACAGGACAATCATGTTTTTTTTTTTTTTAATCTTAAATTCACTAGTAGTTTAATTCTATATGACTGTGTAGTCATTTTGCAAGCTCTATGCTGTTTTGACATTCTTGTAACATGAAAGCTACTTGAAGTAGATGAAACATTTTGGTACAGAGAAGCAAATACAAACTATTCTCAAGAGTTATTAACTTTTTAGTAGCGGTTGCGTTCCAGTAGCTCTGTCTCACGGCAGCATTTTTACTGTGCAGCTGATGCTACAAGTCCGTTGCATTAAAAAAATATGGATAGACCTTGATTCAAAGTTAGGTCAAATATGCTACCAGCAGCAAACTTGCTTTAGCAATAATATGCAAACCTGTAACTGCTTAATGATGTCTAGACATGATTAATTTTGGAGGAGATTTTTTGGCTGTGTAATTGTATGGTGCTGCAGAAATAAAAATCCCCCAGCTATTACGATAAATAGACAACTATAAGCTTAATTAGTTGTAGTAGCTCAACTTTAGACATGTCAGGATTCAGAGTCATCAAAGTGGATTAGTTTTTCAAAGGAAAGGAGGTCTACTGAACTTCTTGCATTTTATGTATGCATTTATATACACATTTAGGATTTTAATACAGTTTTTCTCTTGTTACTGGTTTGAAACCTAGTTAAAAGATAAAAGAATGCTTGTGCTTCCACTGGAAACAGTGGGCTGCTCATCTGAGTAAGAGAATTATTCACAGAATGACAGAATGGTTGTAGTTGGAAGGGACCTCTGGAGGCCATCTAGTCCAGCTCCCTGCTCAAGCAGGGTCACCTAGAGCACATTACTCAGTATTGTACATTATTTTAGTGTGCCATGATAGTGTTTCAGTGCTGAGAGTTCAAAGTCCCATTGTGTATGTCATTTTTACTGATGTTGAGAGACAGTTTTATCTAGTCACCATTATCACTGTAGACAACATAGATACAAAGCAAGGGAAATGAGGTAAAAAAAAGTAAAAATATCTGCTCAAGTTTATATATGGTTATATCATACAACACTTAAATCTCAGCTGTGTAACCCATTTCGTCTGCAGTAAAAATCTACAAACAGCTGCTAGCTATACAAAATAAAATGAGAAAAATAGGTGATGATCTTTTTTCTCCCCAGTGATTTCAATCAGTCTTAATATTTAGTGATGGTTACTGTATCTGAAGTAAATAAATAAACCCCAATGAAACATACAACTTCAGGCAGAAGCATGGTTAAAAGTCCTTATTAACTTACTGATGCAAGTGACGTGAGAGAGTCTTTCCTCCGCAGGACCGCAGCTGCTCCTTGCGTGCTTACACATGTGCAGCGTCCAGACAGTGTGGGCCTTATTATCTAAGCATAGCTGAGCAAATTCAAAGTTGAATTTTCCTTTGCTTTGGAGGCTGGAGAGAAGCCCTCTGCTATTTGAATGACATTTGTACACAATCCTGAATACACATCAGTTCTTATATGTCCTGGTTTCAGGACATGACTATCAAGTAATTCTTTCTGGGTTTAGAAAATAAAGAAATACACAAACTTTTACATTTTTGATATTTATTTTCCTGTGTTCATGTTTGTTGTTACCATGCAACTAATTAGCATACAAATTTCACAAAAATAAATGGCTAGCTTGCCTTGTAGTGGATGGTTTATGAATGAAGTAAAACCTATGCAGTGCTTGCATACTGGTGCTGTGCTCTTATACAGAAAAATAGTGGCATTAAAACAGTTAAATTGTACTCAGGCCCCTGTGACCAAGGGCAGTTCCTGTGCTGCACTAGTGTCGCTACTGCTGCAGCCTCCTGGAGTATTTCTCCAGGGTGACCTTAAGTGCACCTTCCCCATCAGCAATGCAGCTGGGAAGGAGGGTGCAGAAAAGAAGGGAAAGAATAATTGTGTACTTCCCCGCAGTGACCAGCAACAATGAATGGAAGACATGTTGTACTGAGTCACAGCTGAGTGTTACAATGTGTGTACACTGCCATGGTCAAAACAATGAAATGTCATTTTGTGTCCCTAGCTGTGCATGAGGCAAGTACTGCTTTGTTCTGGAACAATGATGTATCAGTCTTGTGTAACTTTGGGTTCTTCAGCTGGCATCTAAAAGCGAAATGGAAATACCCTTAGGAGGGATGATGTGCATAATCAGAGGTAAAATGTATCTCATTGAAATTTTAAGTCCCTGCCTCGAGCTCAGTGTTCTGGCTCCCTCTGTAGGGCTACCCTCTCTGCTAGGGTATTATTGTAAGACAGCAAATTACTCTTAAGATAGCTGCCTAAGGCTGTGTCTGGAGCGACCCAGAAGTGCTTCCAAATTTCCAGGCCAGGGGATGAATCCCAGCTGTGTCTGACTGCGTGTCAGGGAAGGATGCAGCTGCACATGTCCTGGTTTCCATACATGCAGGACTAGGCTGCAGATGAGTGTTGCTCACAAGGCTGCTACCTTGTGTTCTGGTGAGGTCCACAAGTGGGATGATAGGCAGCTGCAAATCCATATATAATGAATGCAGTCCTGGCTTTCTGAGATGAGAGCTGTTTCTCTGCCTTGGCTGGGGGGGTTGGAGGGGGGAATGGTAATCCCAGCTCCTCTGGGTCTCTCCCAGGTATGTCACAGTGTGCTGCAGAGGTGGTGGTGGCTTCAGGTGCAGACAGACAGATGTTCTGGAGACCAGATGCTTAGGACCAGAGGATCATCCTGTGATTCCTGTAGAGATCTCCCAGATGAGGGGTGTTTGTGGAAAAGAAGAGCGTGTCTTCAGAATGAGAGCTTTTCCTTCTGGAAGTCTTGGTCTTTGCTGGCAAAATATGAATGCACTGATCCATCTCTTTGTCTGGCAGAACGTCCATATCCCAATGTTGCTTAATTTTAAGAATTGTCTTTCCTGGTTTTCATCTTTTATTCTGCTCTGTTCTCAAGAGAAGCTCAGCCTGATGCATACTGTGAAAACAGTTACTGATGGATTGTCAGGAAATAAACAGGGAGGGTGACGGGATTGTGTTATGAGGAGCCTACCCAGGAGATGGCAGCCGAGAGACGGCTGTGCGGGAGGAGCCACTCCCAGCCTGCCCAGGTGCTGGCTCTGCTGGGAAATACAGGTGTTGGCGGCCGCTGTCACTCACCGAAGTGCCACTGTCGCATTCAGCAATGAAACCTTTCTATTGCTCAGCTTCAGATGAGATTTTCGGATCTTCCCTCCCCTCGCTTTTCCCACAGCCGTTCAAGGAATCTGTACTTTTATAAACTAATGTATTCATTTGCTCCATCAAAAACGTTAAAGGAAAAAACTACTAGAACTAATTATTAACAAAGTGAAACTGTCTGTGAAAGCAGGAAGTGCAACCCCTTGCCTCTTAAAAAGCTCTGGAAACTCACTGGAGCTCTTCCACTAAGTGTCCTGTGGAGGTACTTAAGGATGGAGAGTTAAGAATAGGCTGATGACTGTAAGTCAGAAGTTTGAGTACCTAAGGCCTGTCTTTAAAAACAAACTAATCAAACCAACTATACAATTTCATCTTATCAAGTGGTGCGAAAGTTCGCATCCTAATGCAGGTCTGTTTTAAAACTTCTATTTTGACTGCTTTAAGAGAAAGAGACAAATACATTTTAAAGACTTAGCACAGCAAAGCCTGTGATTGGATATCAGTTGATCATAAGTGAGGGCAGAAATGTTGACTTACAAGATAGAACTTGGCTATTCTGAGGCTGTTAAAACTATGTACACTATAACCGCTAAAGGCAATAAAAAGTTGTGGCAATTAGCTACAGATTTTGAGATTCATTTTCATACTTCATTTTCTTTAGTCTTTGATTTTAGAGTTTTTGTTGTACCTCAGTTTTGGATATAAAGGGTACTGCATTGTTAGGGTTTAACTCCAGCCAGCAACGAAGCCCCACACAGCTGCTCACTCAGTCCCTCTGGTGGGTCTAGTAAAAGCAAGAAGCCTTGGGCTAAAGACAGTTTAATGGATAAAGCAAAAGCCATAGACGCAAAGCAAACCAGTGTGTTCATTCACCAGTTCCCATGGTTGGACAGATGTTCAGCTATCTCCAGAAAGTAGGGCTCTGTCGTGCGTAACAGTTATTTGGGAAGACAAATAAATACCATCACTCCAAATGTCTCTGATTCCTTCCTCTTTCCTCAATTTTATATACTGAGCGTGATGTCATATGGTGTGGGATATCCCTTGAATCAGTGGAGGTCAGCTGTCCTGACTGTGTCCCCTCCCAACTCCTTGTGCACCTCCAGCCCGCTTGCTGGTGGGTTGGTGTGAGGAGCAGAAAAGGCCTTGACTCTCTGTAAGTACTGCTCAGCAGTAATTAAAACATCCCTGTGTTACCAACACTGTTTCCAGCACAAATCCAAAACACAGCCTCACACCAACTACTGTGAAGAAGATTAGCACTACCCCAGCCAAAACCAGCACATACACTCTGAATTTCAGTTCTGCAGAACAGTGAGAGCTGGTGAAAGATGGAATTTTTGCCTTAAGATTAGGGTAGTCTGGTTCTGTATTATAGAAGTGTTGGTAGCCTCAGTGTTTATGTACCCCAGTTAAAAGCATGGAGGATCTGTAGTTGAGGAAAAAAGAAAGCTCTCTGAAAGTGGCCAGTTTTCAGGTCATAGTTACTGCTATGATTCTTTTACTATTGTCTTCCTATCTTTCTTTCCCACCATACTCCTGTTGAAATGTTGCATTCATCTTTTCCATCGTATGGTGGGGAGTAGCTAGAGCTGGTGTCAGGACATGCTACTAGTGACCAAGTCTGTACATAGTATAAAGTGCAGGGCATTAGAATGGCAAAATGCAGTGTCATTTTAGACTCCAGTCATGATAAACCCATGTATATAGGACCTGACCATGGTAAGGTTTTAACACCAACTATTCAACCAGACCTATTCAAATACAGATAGTCTGCACTACTGTGAACTGACTTAGACTACAGTATAGCTGACCAATAGTTATGACTATAACAATCAAGGCGTGAAGTGCAGCTTCTTTGTATATCTAGCAGAGTCATCCCCTTAGGGTTTTCATTATGTGCTACTGGAACAAAGACATATTTGGCCTCATTTTATGCAGTGCTTCTCTTTAGGGTGCTGTTTGAAAAATAAATGAGTCTGTGTTAAGCAGTATTCTTGTTTTTATTGTAGTAACACTGTTGGGCCCTCACGTGGGCACTGCAGTGGTACAGTCCCTGCTCCCATAGAGCTTACATGCTAGCTTTCAGAAGTCAGTTGACTACAAACTCTCTTGTACATCCCAAGTCTGTACATGTACTCATATGGAACTAAGTCTGATTTGGACTTGATTAGTATTTCAAGAAGTCAGCAACTAGATTTCAAGACCAGAATCAGATCCAACTTGAGTTTGATGAAGGTATTCCTGACTTTTCTTGCTTCAAGCACAAACGGAAGCACATGCCAAAGCTCAGAATTTTAGAATATTTTTTCACCTGTGAAATGCTGATTTAGAAAAGTAGACCTAAAAAAAACCCCACCCAACAACCAACCCCTTGCACATAATACAAAATATACATAATATTTCCAGCATTATTTGTGGCTGTGCCAAGTTAAAAGTGCAATAAACTCACTCATTACATAAACTGAACTAGCCATTTAAGTATTAATTGTAAAAGAAAAATAAACTAGTAACTTGAAGTGGTTAGGATACAAAAAACTTACCTATTTCTATGCCTTCCCTTTATTTTGGGAAAAAGTACTGTATTCAGGCTGGGGGAAAATCGTATCTGGGACAAAGCAAAACCCAGTGGAGGCTGGTGAATTGCATCATTGCTACCTAACTAATAAACTGTAAAATCCCCAAAAAAAGCTGGATGTCAGATATTGACCTGTACCTCCCACTGAAGGTGGAAGAAGGAAATCTGGCTGGATACCTCCATTTCTCTTGCAGACAGCACCAGAAGTGAAGAATGCTGCCATCTGCTGCATTGTGAAATTCCCCCTCTGGGCCTGCAGTGCATGACCCTGGTTATGAAGGAGCTTCCCACACATATGGGTGTAGAGTGTTTTCTTCCACACAAGTTTATACAAGAACTGAGGCAGACAATTTCTTATGTTTTCTTTCAGAGCATCTGCCCGCAGGGTTTATAATTATAAAGTCAGGAGCTTATTTTTTAGCTGTATGAAATTGCTATATACTTTTTTTTTTTAACTTTTAAAATAATTGTTTTGGGCATAAACTCTGCTGATGGCAACAATCTTGCTTGACAGTCAAGATTAGAATCTGGATTGTTTTTCAAAATGTTAAAAAAAATCCCAAACAACAAAACACCCCAAAACATAACATTTCATAGCTACAACACAAATCCTAAACTCGTATAAAAGTACACTGATCACAATCCAGCTGTCACTGCAAATGAAGCTATTATTTGCCAAAGAGATGGTTGGCTCCCGACTTGATTACTGATCAGAAGAAACTGAGTAAAACTTTGAAACAATTGCAAGACTAGTTTTTGAAGAGTCCCTCAGAAAATAATCTGAAAGGTGCCTAAGCATAATTACAATCTAGCTTTGGGGGAAGGAAAACATGACTTTGGATTCTGATTCAGGCACATTTAAATGTTTTACTCTTCAAGTAATTTAGAAACAATCTCACTTTCATGGCAGTGTACGTAAAGGCAAAACACACATCTTCTCTCACAATCAATTATAAGCATTGATTATCTCTCACAATCAATTATAAGCATATTATAAGCATATAAAATGCCAGCCATGAGAGAGACAGGCAGCCAAAATGCCAATTCCCGTGACTGTTACCAGTCTTAACAGCATGTGCCTTTTTAAGACTGAGCTTTCATTAAAACCAGGCAGCATTAACGGCACCTGATAAACTTGAGGTGTGTAGCCAACACAGTCACCCAAGTGTTGTGTTCAGAGCTCCTTCCAGAGCACTACAGTACTTTAATGTACAAAACATAAGTTAACTTTATCATGGCATGAACATGAGGGACCAAATAAAATGTGACAGGTAAGATGGTTATGCTGAACTTTGGTCTCCTGGAGGGCACTGAGATGCTAAAGAAACAAGTGCAGTAAACAATTTACAGAGCTTAGATCTTCAATATCCCCCGTCCTAATGCACATCCTCAGTGATCATCCCCTTTAATTCACTCCATGCTTTAAGTCAAGTCCTGCAGAATCTTTCATTACAGAATTGAGATGCAAGATCTTGACTGTCTTCCCTATTTATGTATACCTAACCAAACTCACGTCAGAGGGACTGTGAGCTTAAAGCCCAGTGTAACAGTAGTGGTAGTGCTTCTCAAGCTTAAGTCTGAAAACCAATCACAACATTCAGAAAACATGCTGTGATTATGAAATTCATATTTTTTTTTTTCTCAGAAAGTATGCAGAAGGCAGCTATACATACTATTTGGCAGTATTTCCCCCAGACAATATACTTCAGTAATGTAGTTGTGACCTTAGTGCAAGGAATATGATGAACTTTTGGAAGAGTTTGCCCATCCAGTTGTCCTCTAGCACCCAGACAGGCATCTCCATATGCAGTTCCCACTTTATAGATTAGTTAAAACAAAGGGTTGCTGGTGCAAATTATTTCTCTAAGACAATAAGGATGGAGCTAGTCAATGAAAAAAATGACTTTTCTTCTCCCAGTCTGGAAGCAGTATTCACCACACATTCATCATCAACTTAATAGAAAATGTCCTTTACACATATGGTACTTGTCAACTGAATTACGAACTGATGCCATTCCACAATAATCTGAAATAAATTGCCCTGTTTCACTCTGCAGTGGATCAGGAGAAGGAGTGCTGGCACAATATGTTACTGTAAAGTCCGGACCTGCCAGTTCTAAGGGCTAAGTTTGTTTAAAAGGCAAAAATTTCCAAGAAAAGGCACTATAAATCATTCTGGGGGAAGAAAGAGAAAAAAAAAACCAAACCAAAAAACAACCAACAAACTGTCCTGCAGTTACTCTTATAATAGAGTAGAATTTGTAAAATATTTTCATCTATAAAAAGACACTTTTCATTAAAAATGTTTAAATGTTACTAAGCTTTAAGGCACTCCAGCTGAAGAACCAACTGGATCACAATGTTGGTGGCTCAGATCTCTTTATCCATGTAACTCATCTTCAGTCTTTGTCCTTTGTTAGTTCTGTAATTTCATCAACATCTTCTATATCCTGTGTCATTTTCTCATACTGTCTCTTGAAGAAGCCAAGCTGTGAGAAGTATTAAAATAACACCACATCACAGTAAGTCATTGATAGTTACTTTACTCAGCTAAGCTAACCAGTGTGGTGGCAGAAATGCATATGTGTACATGCACACACATACAGTGTTTGATTTGTAGACAATTCCTAACTCTAAAATAAAAGGAGCTGGCCTTAAACTCCTGCCTGGTGAAACTAAATGTCGAAACAGCAGTGCTGATTAGCAGTGCTGATTAGCAAGCATCCTGCAAAGATGCCAGCATCAACTTGGAGCACCAAGGAGCCCTTCAAACACCAATGCCCTGGCACATCTCTTCCTAATCTTGATATCCTTTGTAAATGACCTTTTGTCCTCACCCTTCTTTGTTCTCTTTTTTCTCTGCTCAATATATATCTTCTCCTTCCTTGCTTCTGTTCCCCAGCCTTGCCCACTGGGAACATCATGGGAGTTCAGACCCCAGCTGGAGACTTACGGAAGGAGGCAGGCAGTGTCAAAAAGAAAGAACAATGCCACAGCCCCTGTTTTGAACTATTGAAAAATCATTTATCACCTTCATGTTGCCAATTTCTATGGGGACCCATTTCAGAATTTTGATGTTTAAAGCCCTTCTAAATGCTCCCATCAAGGGTGTGATGCCAATACAGTATTATTCATACCACCAAACTGCATTTGCAGTTTTGTTCCAGCAACCAGAAGTTCCAAAGAAAATAACCCAAATGTGTTTGTCCCTCTCTGCTTTTCTTTTTAATAATATAAACACCTACTTACTTTCCACAAAACGGCAACCAATGCTAACAGAAGAAGGAGTCCAGCCAATATACTGCCAATAACAACACCAACTGGTATCTCAGCTTTCTCATCTGGCTTCATTATTGTAACTGGGATCTGAAAAGAGAGGGATTGTGCATTGGGGTTAATGTTAACTGCATATAAAGTAGGATTTGTAAATCAAATGCTTCACTAATCAAGAATAGCTGGACTGCACACATTCCAGGATCAACTGGAACACAACAGGCAGTTACAGCCCTTTCACTGGTGTCTGGAGGTACCTGGTTGCACCACCATGGCACAAGGCAGTGCTTGTTAAGGATTAGGGGCTCTCATCACTCCTGGCCATAAACAACAGGCAAAGAAGCAATGTCTTCCTATAAGCCTTCTGCCTCTCCAGTAATGGGAGGTCTTTCAGAGATGTTTCTATAGTGCCCAGACACACCATCACTACGTAAGCCAGACATGCTTACATGCAGGCGGGGAATAGACTCGTGTAAAGCCCCATCTGCTCAAAACAGACTTCTGCTGCATCAGGGGGAGAAGACCTACTTCCAGTGGAGCACTGTCAGAGCCCATTACCTGTGGTGGGCAGCTGCAGAAGGCAACACTAATCATGGAGGCCAGACAACATCATACACTCACTGCAACTGCTGAAATTTCTCCCCTCCTGCTGGGCAAGTGCCTCCTCTGCCTGATGTTCCTAACCTTCTGGGTAGCCACTAACAACTTGTTAGGTCTTTTCATGTTAATCTGTGTTCTCCTGAGACAACTGCATGAATTTTCTGTTAAGATGTATGGGTCAAACAAGTCAGGAGTGTTTCTAGCACACATATGCTTCCTGAACAAGCAATACCAGAGAGCTCCCAGGACAGCATATGGTGTCTGGAAGTTAGTTTTCAGGCGATACCCTGTCTAGTTGTACTGGGCATGACCAACTACATAGTTGCATAGAACATAGTTGCTCAGGGACACATTGCTGTAATATTTATGAACTGTCAAATCTTTGGATTTAATCTTGGAATGACATGCATTTAGCATGAAGGTTTTTTCCTTCCTGAAACATGATAAAAGAAGTCACACTGGTTTACTTTCTCAGGGTTGCTTGCTCAGTGCATTTGTCTGGTGTAATTTAATCTTAAGCTTTCTGGGAAACTTGCACTGGACTGACATCTCAGTGATTTAAGTCATTTCTGCTGGAAGGCTCCAGTGTTGTGCTAGGCGTGGCTATGTGTATTCATTTCACTGAGGCAGGATGGTTTTGTGTATTTTCTAACCGAATGGCCATAATGATGATTATAGCAGGTTAATGTTCTGTCCTCCAGCTGGCAGTCCTTTCCAGCTTGGAAAAAATCTGAAAGCTTTTACGCAAAGACACCTAAACAGCTTTCCCACATAGTATAACAAAGCAATATTAATTCATTTGGCTACACAGCAACCCAACTCATCCAAACTAGACAGCCAATATCATATGTATGTGCAGTTTGCCTAGTAATGCTTTCTCCATTAGATTAATAGTGAAGTGGCACTACTGGAGAGGTAAGTTAATGCCCAAGAACAAGTATCTTCTGTGAAGTTAAACTGTGGTCAGTAAGACATCACAGGTGCAATTTACCTCATCTACTGTTTTATATATATATATATGTATGTATGTATGTATGTATACAGTAGGGTTCCTTAGCTTCCAATGGAGAAGGATATGCTTTTTTTAGGGCCTAATTTACCCTATTTACTCTTTTCAAAATTGTTTTTAGGATAAGAGGAACTGCATCTCAGAAATACCTATTCTTTCTAGGGTTTCTAGGGTTTCTAGAAGTGCTAACTCTGACGTGGATGATTAATGTAGATTCTAACTTCAATGAATCCTACCACCCTGGTCTGAAATAACAGTGTAAGGAGGGAAATAAACTCAGATTGCTTCTGCACTGTCCTATTCCCAAGAAACTGTGAAGGGCAAAGATTGGGTGTCACTGTTGTCACAAGAATTATATGCAGTGCTGGGTACTGACTCCATTACTGCAGCGTCAAAGGGAACTCTCTGCCCTAGGAAGAGCCTAACTCCACCAGCTGGCACATTTTCCAAGACTTCTCAATGGAAAGAAGCATTTGAGTAAGAATCAGGCTGCAAAACTCACCAGAAGCCACTGTGTTTCTTAAGAGCCCTGTGGATAACTTTCAGGATCTGTTCAGCTAAGAGCTCTAAAAGTCCCAGCTGCAGATGTTTCAATGGCTGACTGAGGAATTGCCTTTTATTTGTCAAGTGAATTAATCAACGGTCATTTGAATAATTAAATTCTGGTTTTCCTGAAATCACTAACAGAGCTGCTGGTCATTTAAATTTGGCAGCATCAAGTGTGGAAAAATACCTAGTAATACATAGTTTATGACCCAAACATCCTGTGCAATTAATTGGAATATTAATTGTGTATTGTGCATTGTGTATTAATGAGTTTCATCCTTCAGCAGAAATAATACCATGCCACAAATTTGAGACACTCAGGACACTTCAAATGCAGGCATAATTTTTCTGCAAAAACCATCTCATTATTTCCAGAGCTACACACATATTCTCTTTTCTTCTTCAGGCATTGGATGTTTCCCTGAATACAGATAGGTCTGTTGAGAAGTTCTTCACAAGAAATTGTGTGATCCATGAGGAAACAATGTCAAAAAATAGTACTGAACAATTTCTTATTTTTGCATTAAGCCAGATCAACCAATAACTACCTGTGTACATATTTAACTGATTTTTCCATTGCTTATGAGTTGCTCCACATTCTTACAGATTTTACTAATGTGCATTTTGGTCTTCAGTGGCCTTGGTTATCTGTATGGATAAAGCAGGCTGGTAAATCCTGTAAAAATAAATCTAAACTCCATATTGCAAATGGAATAGTGTTCCTCTAGAACACTCCTTCCTAGATAGGCCAAGAGAACAATGTATCTTTATATTACAACAGCACGATAGCACTAATGTGTTCTCCATGTATTGTTTATGTTTGTATATGGTAGATAAAAACCTTGGAAGAAGAATTCTATACTAATAAAGCAGTTGTTTGGAGACGTTTTTGAGATTAGCTGTGTCCATATGACAGCCATTCCAAATGCAAAAAATACTCCACATTCTTTTACAAATGAGGTTAAGGATATTTGCTGGAGACCTGGGCCAAACATCTGTCTACAAATATCAAACTAAATACACTTACAGAAGTAAGACTACAAATCAGATTTGTGAAAACGTTTCCCAGAACTCACTTATGTACACCAATTAATTCTGTTTCAGAAAGAAGTCCAAATTTTGATCTCTCCATGAACAGGAAGCTAAATGAATTTCAGAAATTTCTGAATTTTGCTGATAGTTCTACAAGCTATCTGAAATTTGCAGGTTCTAAGTCTGGTTTATATAGCAGTTGGCTATACATAAGACATTTTCGTAACTTAAGGGAGGTTGTTTATAGCCAAAAGGATACATTACTTCAATGTAATCAAATGTCATCAGAGTCTGTAATTTGCCAGGTACTCCTAAAGGACTCTGAAAATTAAATATTATCACTTTAAACCATTAAAATATAAAAAATTTGAAAAAATATCTATCACTTACAGTTAGAGTATTCTCTCCAATTACAAATAAGTCAGGGTTATATGTATTGATTGTTGCCTCTGCAGAGAGTTGTAATGTCTGGAAAGTTAACTGAAAGAGAAAATTATAAAAAATGTAAAGCTGTATTAATTAGAATGTAGACATCCTAAAATAATTCTCTACCTTTAAGTGAAGACTTCAGAATCGGAAAAAAAATCCCAGTATTAAGAAAACTAAAATGGTCTTTTTTATTGGTCCCAAGCTAACATGTCAATGAAGGTAATAGTGTATCAGTAATCCAGGTTTAATTTTGCTGTTCTTACTTGCAACGAAACTAGGGAATTGGCTTTTCTTCTTTAATGTACAGTTCATGCAAAACAGGAGGACTTGATTCTATATCCATTTTTTTAGTTATTTCAAAGCTGTCACTGCTGATAGCTCAGAAAAGGTAGGGGGTGAAGTAACAGAGAGAAAGGGAGAAAGAGCTCAGCAGCAAAAGACAGATGGGGATGTATCTGGCCTTTGAAATGGAAACTGAATGTTCTTTCCCTTCCTCCTCCCCCCACTCCCCCCAGTGCTTCTGTTTTTCCCCATTTACTTTTTCCAATCACTATCTGTTCCTGTCCACTGCCCAAATTCTGACATCACTCCCTCAGCTTAAACAAAGATGATGACAAAAATCTTAAGCCATTTCATTCCCATTTGAAAAGGGACCTTGTGCCAGATCCCACTGCCCTCTGTGCATGTGTCAAGAGGAGAGAAGTACAGCTGCGCACACTGCCAGTGCCGTCATGCTCTTCTCCCTATGCAGCACGCACAGAGAGCGCCATTTCCTACACCACCAACAGGAATAGCCTCAGGTCTGTGGGAGTCCAGCAGCACTCACCAACCATACCAAATGCAGTGCCTGCTCAGTCATTTTGCCTCCTCAGCCATTTCTCTGTGGCAGGACTAGGTACAGCGGGCTTGACACAAAGGATGTGCACAACAGTGGGTCTGCAGGAGCCAATGCGCACTGACTGCACATCCTGCACTGTGGCCATTTGCCCAAGTGGTCTGCTCTACACTCCTAAACGTTTAGAAACCTGCCCAAGCACTATTTAAAGCACCTCATTAATTCCTAAATGCATCTTTCTCTGCTTTGATTAGCTGGTACCAGCAAGCCTGCTATCCCCTTCTTGGACAGTGACCAACTGACAGTAAATAAAAAGGATGATTACATGCATTTTAGAGTGTTTGCATTATTATTTGCACTGAATATTGACAATCAAATTGAAACCAAGAACATGCAAGATGAGAGGAAAATTGTGTCATGATTTTTTCTTCCAATCTCACAGTGGTAAACAAAGAGTTTCCACTCACCTTTGTGAGGTTAGCAACTTTTTGTTCAGGTCTCCACTTTCTGTGTACCTGACAGCACTAACAAGTAGTCTTGACCCAACTAATTTGAAAACTATGAATTTTAAAGACAGATGCTTTCTTTCACACTCTTGCATAAGTGTATTACATTATCAGTCTGACCTTTTCCTTTTAAGAGCTGAACGCTAAAGCTGACAAAAGCCCTGCTGTTAAATGTCAGTACCTGCCATAAGACTCGCCAGACAAACTAAGGAGACTGTGTCATGTTCCTGATGCTGTAGGCAAACCCAGAACTCCAAGACAGTTTGGTTGGTTGCCTAGCTAAGAAGCAAACATGGTCTCATTTCAAAAGTCTGGTAATTATGAGTTATACCCTGGAGGACACACAGTAATTTGAATTGGGAAAGTCAAGATATTAGTGATGGATATTTTTAAGCATCGTGTAGGTCTTTAAGCAAGGACTGTTTATTTGACAGCAACTCTAATAAAACCAAAAAATCAATTAAAAAATATCCACACCTTTTCTTGAAGATATAACTGGCCACACTAACAGGCTTTTGGTTTGATATGACTTAAAATGATCACTATGTAGGCTGTGATGTTCAACAGCTAAAAGCAACATTATTTTCCATGCTATGATACTGTACTCTGCTGTCGTATGTTGAGTTTTGTGGAAACTGCAGTTGCCCTTGAATGAATTTAACAGATGCAGAGAATGTTTTTTTCAGCTGTTAAGATTGCATTCTCACAGTATTTTCTTAGGTTTTATGCTGGACTGAAGGTTAACAGCTCCGTTATGCAGCCTCAATACTTTAAGATTCAAGTCTTCAAGCTGGAAAGACACACACAAGTAAAGGGGGGTCTTTCTAGACTGGAAGGTCTCTTTATTGCACTTTGAAAAATATCAGGTGTTAGGAAATACTTGAGTATTGGATCCATCATGAAGATGCAGGTAATACTTACAGCAGCAAATGTTCCGTTCCAGATTCTGGTGGACACGTTCACAAAGTACTCTCCCTTGAGCATAATATCTTCCAGTTTGCATGTGATGGTACTGCACTTCACGTTCTTACAGTTCTTCCAGGGGAAATAGCAAGGAGAGCATGTGTTAAAAATACACTTTAGCAAACATTCTTTTAATATCTTTTGCACTTGCCTTTGCTGTTCTGTGCTGCATACAAAGTGCTTGAATGTGAAGAACGTGCACCTTCTCTTCTGTCAAAGGCAGATGCAGCATGTGTGAGACCACCCATAGGCTGCACTGCAGTGTGAACGAGGAAGGCCACCCTCTGCCACAGCTGTACCCACAGGTACAGCAGCAGGCTCTTAAGGATTGGCTCTATGCCCCTGACCTGTGGTGCTGCAGCGCTCAGTCTTACTCACCAGTTCTTTGGAAGTTCTGAAGTTCTCTTTTGTGAAGGAGGCAGAATAAGGTCTTTTCCCTATCTGCAGTGGATTTTTCTGAGCTTGACAAGTCACACCTCTGGCCTAGGAAACACATCAGGAATTAAACTGGATGACATCATACTCAGGAGTTTGTAGTCATCATATATATTTGTGGAATGAGATGGTAGCTGTGAAAGGCTAGATTATGAATTATATAACACTGGATACTTAAGGAAACTAAGAGACGGTATCTGGGTTTGGACAGAATTATGGTCATTTCTGCAACCCCCCATCCCCCGCAGGCTGACCTGTAGGATTTGTCTCAATCTAAAAATTCCATTTTTACTGTAACATTCCCAGGAACTTTGAGGAGGACTTAGCTGAAGAGTTCCAGAATAAAATCAAAAGTCAGCTGTGGACTGTAAAGACAATCCACGTAATAGATTAGTATACTGCTGACAGTGTGCTCCTCCCCCTTCCCTTTATGAGGAAGGAACAAAGAGAAAGGGCATAGATTTTCTGGAGCTCAGCCACACCATGAGGGAAGTAACTGATGTTCATGGTACTGATTAAACCCCAAAACACAGCAGCTTATGTAATTAATTTCTTTACTTCATCAATGCTGATTGCAGTTATGTACATCAGTGGATTGTCTTTGCTGGTAAATTCTGGAAGATAGATATTTATAGATGCCATCTTTACGGGGATACTTCCTGTTGTTACCTGCAAAACAAGTAACTCACAGTTAATTCAGATAGCTATACTTGCATATGAATAAATTGATACAGCAAGAAAACCAGAAATCATGGATGAGTATGGAAGAACTGGACTTCTTTTGCACATCAGTGTTTTTTGTACTATGACACTTACTAGGGTAGTAATTACATTCTGCCAACAGTCAAGCAGAAAGTATATTGTACAGCTTCAGGTCCCTGACCATTTCCTTAATACAGAGTTCATATTAATGGCATGAAATATGTTTTGAAAAGCAAATACTCTGCCACAGCCAACAGACCTGTTGTTTAGTCCTTTAGAGTAGCAGTTACAGGAATGTAAATGGAACATAACTTAAGTTTCTTCCACGTGGCAGATCTAAGTTTTTCTGACTTATGTAATAAAGCTGTGATCTAGCTAGTTCCTGTATCTGGTTTGAGGACTTAACCCTTGCTAAACTTCCAAAGTTTCAAAGTCCAAGCCTGAGAAGACTTGCTTTTCCTCATGAAGTTGGCAGAAGACAAATACACTCCATGAAAAAACAGTCCAAGTTGGCTTAAAGTTAAGCATTAACCATCTCCTAAGTATGTAAACAGTGCAGAATCAATCCTTCCTCCATTCAGCTTGTGCAGTAAGTGCAAATTTCATCCTTAACCTCATAAAGACTGTAAGCATTTATCCCCCAGCTATTTATATTTTTTTTCTTTAGCTGATTAAAAAACATCAAGAACAGGCAATGAAATCAGGAAAGTTTTTCAATTACATTCAATTACATGTTCAGAGCAGGCTACAGGACGAGGTAAGGCAGCTTCTTGAACCAGAAATATTTACTAACCTTAACTGAGAAGTTGAACGTGGGGCCAATATCTTCAAAATTATTCACAGTGGAAGGAATGTTATGACCAGAGTATACTTCATAAAAGTTGATGTTGGCAAGCCTAGTTAACAACCATAAAACAATCCATTTCAGTTTGGCAGCTGCTTTGAAAATATATGTTACTGGATGTGCCTTCATGAAACATGTTAGAAGTACAGTCAAAGGAAAAAATGGTCATTTGTACTGCTGTTTGAATTTTACAAAGTTGGGTGAGAAATTACATGGTGTACTGAAGCCTGGAGTTGGAGAAGGCATGTGAAGGTAAGACAGGAGGTTTGTGTGAGACGTAAGGTCTGCTTCCTGCATCCTGTAGTGTTTCAGTGCCGTATGGCAAACCCTGGCACACACTCTGACTTTCACCCTTGCAGTAGCCTCCCTCCTCAGGAAGGGCCTCGTGACTGTCCCTCTTGGTACATCTGTAACAGCGGATACCTGCAGATTCCGAGGGAGACCCTGAGCTCTAATGCTTGTTTCCACACTGCCTGGATATGGACACACATACAGCACCCTGCTTATGTGCCCTTGGTCTCCTTTGGGCCACTTTCTATGGTATTTATGGGTTTCAAAATATACAGTTTCCACAGTAACATGAGGGTGGTTGCAGCCCACCACAGCATGAAATTGCAAGTGTGTGAGGGCCGTTGGATGCTTGAGAGACTCGGCCAGCTGGCATCATTCTCAATGACAATGAAAGCATCCCTGTGTAGTGCATCAGACCCATGTGCTTGCTACCTGTGAGCAGCTTTTCCAGTGGACCATCCCAGAACTGTGCCAGCTCTTCATCATTAGCTTTCATGAGGAGGCTAATTTGATCAGTCAAAAAGCAAGCTGAGGAGTGAGTTAACAAGGAGCAGGGGCTATCATGATTGCTACATGGGCTCTTCCTGGATCCTTTTCAATCCTCCATATGTCCTCCAAGGGGTCTTTGCCTTGAAAGGACTTGCACAAGGCCTCCTTATGGCTCAAATCTCCAGTCCTTCCAGGACTGCACAGTATCAGCTTCCTTGTCCTTGCAGGAGTCAGTGGTTAAGACAGATTCCTACCCCTTCTACTGGAAACTCAGATTAGGAAATTTTCCCTAGAAGAGCTTCACTTCAGCAAGACAGCACTTTTTTGTCAACCCGTGTATTTTAAGAGATTGGTCTTTGGTTACATTACCTGCCTTAAGAAGGAACTATCTACAGATAGTTATTTCCTAGTGGGAGAGTGTAGAAATGAGGGAAGAATTTAAAATTATAACTTGGGTTAATGTGTATTTCCTTTAATTCTTCTAAATTGGTTCATCTCCAAGAACAACAATCCTTTTCTGGCAGTAAGAATTCCTTCATGCCTTGACTTGCATATGAAACTGCATTTTCTCCTACTCAGGAGATGCACCCAAATTCAAACCCCTGTTTTTCTTTGAGTAACTCAAAGAAAATAAATTCCAGTAAATTCCATGCCTGGCTTTTTCTGAAGCATTGAGTTTCTGTTCATATTTCTCAGCTAATTAAATTTGCTGATTCAAGTTTGCGCCACCTCAGTTTCCTAGGAGGCTGCTTAACTTGCTGTACTATTCCCCTATACAGATGATGTGTATTCTCTTGTGCTGCTGCGAACTTCAGTAACAGATACTCTCTTTCTCCTGAAGTTCTGTGCAGCTTTCTCAGGGAGCTGAAATAATTTGCATTGCTGACACAAATGCTTCTCTGCAAGTGAAATAATCTGAGAAATTCTGCATGACTCCAGAATTGGTGTACATAGCTGTGATGAATGCCTGGCCTTGAATGTTCTGAAACAACTGCTGTAAAGCAGGTTATTAAACTAATCTGTACTTTGGTCCCTATTCCAGCTCAGGTCATCCTATGCAGCCAACAGTTCTTGTAGTTAATGGTGATCTTTGAATATTAATTTCCTGAATTTATTGTTGCTGTACATTTTTTGAGCATCTTTCTTTTTCAATTTTGTCATTCTTTGAATAATTACTATTTATTTTCCATCAGTTTATGGTTACAAATTTTGGAATGTAAAGCAATTTTTCACCAAGAACTGGTGACCAAGTGTATAAAATGTAACTACGTGATGAAAAGAAAAATATTTTCTCTTGATCTGAGAGTCAAACCAGTGTATTTTTGTTTCAGTTCTGATTTAACTGTAACTGAAATCATTCTTGTTTGGAACAGTAACAGGCTAATTACTGTTTCAGTGCATCCCAAATCACCAGGGATTTCTAGGGCTGAAGATAAGAGGTTTCAAGGGCATGAATATTTTTTTTTTCCCCGGGGCATTTTTTCTTTTTGCAGTTGTTCTTTTGTTTCTTTTGATCATTTTAACTCCAGATTTGGTCTGATGTCACTACATTTGAGCCCAGAGGCTCAACCTTATTATGTAGTTTATACTAATTATATTATCAAAACTACAAGTACTGTTTGGGTTTTATACCACTTCTAGTTGTATAAACATTATAACAATTGTGAAGAGATAAACATGGTTCTGTGATTTCTTACTACATATTCCATGTTTTTTACATGTAAGTTTATCGGAAGAACATAAAACTCTGCTACTGTTGATGACTTGGGAATTGCTTATGAATTTCAAAATTAAAGTTTTACTATCTTTTTAGTGGCTTTTCAATACTGTTACTGTATTCCAGTGCCTTAGCAAAAATTACAGTGATTCTGCATTATTCATTATACCTTGTGAAGTGAATTTCTGCATCATATCGCAAAGGAATCGATAAGCTAATCCGGTTGTCCACTTCTTGCTCTTCCTTACTTTCACTGTTCATAAAAACACATTTAAAGTCAGGTTTTATAATATTATTTTATACAAAAGAGATATCAATACCTAACTTGCTTTCATATTATTATATACTTTACCTCAATGCATGAAAACTTAGAACTGCCACATTCTGAAGATTTTTCAGGTTAAAATCAAAACTAACATCAAAGGATACCTATGGAAGAGGCAAGGAACACACGGTAAATGAGTTGGTGGTACAACATCCAACGGACTCCCCAATAACAACATAATTATTTGTATGCATGACAATCTGGAATTTTATCATCTCTATCTGAATTCTCTGCTGTGTAAACCACCCATCTCCTGTCAAAGTATACTGCCTTCTTGAAGAGATGAGATTCACAGAGCAGAAGGAGCTACCTCAGATTTGTGCAACAGGATGGGTTTGATGGGAATGATCAGGCAGCTATGTGTGATGCTCTCTGTTTTTGCCCTCAACCCTCACCTTTCAAGAGTTACAAAGCTACAGCAGCATTTGAAAGTTGTGGGCAGTGACAAATGTGCTTCAGGAGTGCTTTTTCTTTTGGTCTGCCAAGGGTCACAAAAGCTTAGCCCTTATGTTGCTTCTTTTAATGCCTCTGAAACCCAAATGGAAGTTAACTGTTGCCATATCTAAGAAAGCCTCACCAGCAGTAAATGCAGATTTAGAGGAAAACAACAAACAAGCTTTTGGTATCATTCAGTTATTTAAACATGCTAGATGTACCTGTTGTCCTGTTCTGAAAACAGGATAGCTTATTTGGCAAATGACTGTACTTTGTGCTGGTCCTGTCTGACACGAGACTTCAGTCCCATCATTCTGCAGAAGAAACAGAAAAGTCATCGTAGTATCAGGTTTTGATAAAGCAGAGGGGAAGTTGCCAGCCTGTGTTTTCAACAGGGCATGTATAATGCTAAGTAGTAGCAGTATGAATAGGTATTATGGCAGTAATTCCTGAGATGCAGCAGAGGGGTTGGGCATAGGCAGTGCTAGGAGAGAGGCTGGAGAAAGGTGGTGCCAGTCCCATGTGATTTCTTGTGAGCTCTTAGATTTTTGTGCTGGGCTTTGAAGAAGGAGTACTGGCTAGAGAGTACAAGTCAACTCTAGCGTTAACTCCTACTGTTTTTACAACATTTTTACAGAACTTTTCCAGACATATTTACATGACCTGAGGGCTAGTTAAGTACTCTCACTGTAGAAGTTAGTATGCAGAGGGGGACCCTATCATACATTTTGCAGGGGAATCTATAATACATAAAAGTTTATTTACTACTTTGCAGAACGTTTAGCATGTCATCATCCTGCAAAGACAAACTTGTAGACCTGACCAGTTATCACCATTTTAAAGTGCACTGTCTTTTGGTAGGAGCATCCCTAGCAGACATTTACCTTTCATGAATTACACTACAAAAAACAACATGAAACAAAATAAAGAAAACCAACCAAACAAAAAACCAACCCCCAAAACCCATCCATACCTTCTCAGTTTATGCTTTTATTCCTGCTTTCAAGCAGGCACATTTCTGGTCCTCACTTACAGGCTGAAATACTTCTAAAAAAATGTGATTTTAAAGCAAAAGAAAATCCTAGCTCCAGTGTGGTCTTTTGGCATGAGTGGAACAAGCAATATTGCTGCATAACAGGATGGGAAGATAGAGGGGCACCCTCAGTGCTGCATGGAGTACTTCTGCCAGTTCATTGTTCAGGAGAATGCTGCTCTGGGGCAGTGATGAATGCTCCTATCCCTCCTCTCTCTTTACTATAGGGATAGCTCTGGATTTCACCCCTAGGATTATCACGCACTCCTCCAGTAGTGGCCTGACCACATAAACCAAGGACTGAAGTCCAGACTTCATCCTTCGTTAATTGTTTGGAAGCAACAGTTGAGGTTATAGATTAAACCAAGTACTGAAGTCCAGACTTCATCCTTCATTAACTGTTTGGAAGCAACAGTTGAGATTATAGATTTACTGCATTTCCCAAAATAGTATGTATAATGCCTTTCTCTTCCCTTTTCTAAGACAAAATTCATTAGAAGAAGAGCTTCTGGTACAGCAATCATTTCAGTATGATTCACGGTATGGCTCGAACATGTGGCCTTGGCAGTAACACTATTTCTAGATCCAAAGTCTGTGCTTTAAGGCCGCATCATCAATGCTGCATACTTGATTTATCAAATACAAATTCCCTGTGGCACAGCAACTACATTCAGGCATGTCATTGGGAGTCAAGTAGAAGATGCGGGTGCCAAGGCCTGCAAGTGAGGAAAAGATGACTGAAATACTAAGGTGAGGTCAAACTCAACAAGTTGCCAACTTTCATGCTGAGTTGGCAGTGTCTCTCCTTGACCTAAATAAACTGATATGCTGAAAAGAGTAATTCTGTATCCAAGAAAATAAACTGGGAGAGAGGTTTGCACATGCATTCTTTTCTGGGATAGGCACTACTAGAAATAAAAAATAAATAATTCTCTGAGAACCTCAAAAATTAGGGTAAATAGCAGAAACAGTGGGTGTCACGTACCGGTAAAGACGATGAAGCAAAAAACAAGTTGTCTGAAAATGTAGCCTGGATTCTGGTGTTATATGCATTTTCCTTTTTATTTCTCAATTTTACACTGAACGTTAGCCTTCTGTTTTTGCTGCTGACAACAAACTGCTGTTTGCTGTTGGAAAATAAAGTCCATTGTTGTAAACAGAGATACTAGAACAGCTGTGGATCATGAAAAATGTGTTGCCTGTAGCCAACAACAAATAACAAGCACAACAGGACATTTCCTCCATTCTATGCACTTAAACACTCTGCTTTCTAAACCCGCTGACATAAGAGACTCTGTGATGGTGTTTCTTAAAACCAAATGGAATTCATGTCTTCTCAAAGTGCAGGACCTTGACTATGTATGGTCAAAATCACTTTGCCGAATTTTCAAGGGCTCTGCTCTCATGGGAAAGTGGCTAGAGAGCGGGTGTCAGACTAGGATGGCAGCTCCATGAAAAGCTGGCCCTGTCTTTCTGCATGCTGCACATGTACACATGTATCTGCATATGGACTTGGAAAATGTGCTCACTGAATGGCTGACCTCGGCTCCCCAGTGGCACATCCTGCTGCAGGATCCCCTCTGCTCCCCACAGAAGGGACCAAGATGCCTGCAGAAATCACTGCTGCTCTCCCAGTGTGCTCCCTGTTCCAGCAGCAGCCAGCCAGCCATGAATCTTCTGGATGCTCACTGTGTCCTCATACCTAAGGCAGCAAAATTTGGACTTATCTAAGCTGACAAGAATCCTGCTCCTATATCTGTGTTCCTACCATAGCTCTTTTCCCTTGATCAGATATTCTGGCAGAAATGCTTTATTATCCCTGCCATTTCTAAGTAGATGTTGAACTAGAAAGACATTCTCATCTAGAAATTCATCGAGAGCCTACAGTAAAACCAGCTGATGGAAACTTAACACCTGACACAATTCCACTGATTCAGCTCTTACCCATCGTCTGCCTTCCGCTGAACATTCAGAACAAGATCACAGATACAAAGTTCATCTTCACCACAGTCTTTAATAAAAGGAATCTATGAAAAACAAAACATTTCCTGAGTGACAGGGCTCAACTCTCAAAATTACGTGCTGATAGTAGAGTGCAAACACTTTTGAGGTGAAGCACATTCTTGGTTTGCAGATAAGAAAATCCCTCTGAAGGGCATTAAATACTGACACAGGAACAAGTTAACACAAACATGTTATTACATCTCAACCAATCCATGAAAACAGTTAACCCATGACAAATGGGATGTAATCAAAGGGGTTTCAGCCCTCTTTTATGTATTCCTTTACTGTAGGATAAGCTAACCTAAAATAGTTCATCTTTGCCATCACCTGGAAGTGCACATCAAGAGTGACATGGCTAAACCAATATGCTTGTGGCTGATCAGCCATGGTGGCTGATGTGAGTGTGAGCAAGCTCAAGCAATATAGACAAAGGTACAAAATGAACCAGGGAACACCCTCCAGTGCCTGTTGTCAGACCACTGACTTAACTAGAACACCAGTTTTCACTTACATGTACCTCTTGGGTGTTTGTGGGGCCCACACATTATTGACATGTGTACAGCCATGCATTTTTTGATAGTAACATTGCATACTTACACTGTAGGCCACAGATGCAGGAGAATATATATCAAGCACAGGGCTGGACACAGGATTTGCAAGGCCAATGTCAATGCGCAAACTAAGTGAATTCACTGCATCAGAAGGTTCCTGTAAAACACATGGTTCAAATGATAGCTGTCAGAACAGCAAAGAGAGTAAAATTGGTAATTTTACTGTAAATTGAGAATGCACAGTAAAATGTTTGCTCTAAACAAAAAGCAACAATATAAAGCTACATTTCTTGACTGAAATAATTTTCTGAGATTGCCAAGTGTGGGCTCATCTTGCTAACCTGCTTTTAGTGCCACTTCCATGATAGAATTCATTTTTCTAGCATCACCCCTGGAGGCTGTATTCAGCACAGTCACTTTTAGAACTAAGGAACAAGCAGATTCTCTGCTGCAGAAGCTGGTCCCCAAAAGCCACCACCAGCTGAATACCATTCTCACCTGGCTGCAGAAGTCAAATTCCTATTCCATTCTGCTTTACCACAGAGAGCAGCTGGGCCTGAGCAACACCAAAACACAATATACCTCGTCTCCTCTGTTTCTTAGTACTGAATGAATACTTGCCTAGCCCTATGGCTCCACAACAGCACTAAATGTGATCAAGTTGAAGATATTTGCATTGCAAAGAAAAGCAGGAATTGAAGTCCTCTACTGGACCTAGCATTATGCAGACGACTTAAAGCAACTTTCAGGGCTGTGTTCAGTCTTTGGTTCTAGAGAAAGATGGAGACTTGCTTATTTGTATTTTTTCCCTAGATATATGCCTGAAGCTAGCATTCACCAGAAGTCTGCCTGAAAAGTTGTTAGTTTGAGAGAAAACATTTGCATGTATGTCTTAGTTCTGACAGAAGAATTCACTCCACAGAGGGAAAGTAAAATCTATTGAAACTATGGACGAAGGGCTCTGTGTTTTGTCAGAGCTGAACTACATAATTAAGAACTGCCTCTTCTATCCTAAGAAGCTGTGCTGACTTTGACAGCTATTAATTTCTTTGAAATAAAAATCTTATTAAGTATTTTTCAGTTGTGGGGGATTTCAGAAATGTAAATAATTGAGCACAACATGCATGAAACTCATCTTACAGACAAAAAATTCATCCTCCTCCTCCTCTGATCATTTTTGTCACAATTGCACTTACCTGTACATTGAAGATGTCATGAATACAAGTCTCATGACGTACCACAAGGTCTCTCTGCATGTACCTTTCATTATTTTCTTTGAACAATCCTCTAGAAGACACTCTAGAGGACTGGAGATCTGCATCCAGTGTTGCATTGTACTTTATAGCTACAAGAAGAATAACAGTACATTCTTTGCTGAGTATGACTGCCCACGATCTCATTACTATGCTTAATGCTACAGAGTGACCAGGCTTTCCAGACCACACTAAATATTTTACTTTTTTTCGTAGCTTGCTGCACACAAAACAGTCTCAAACTGGAAAATAAACAAATAAATAAATAAATAAAAGCTCTTGTGCTTTCCAAAGCAGTCAACCAGGTTTAAATCCTTCTCATCGACAGACAGCACATTAAATGACAATCAATCCAGTCTCCAGTGCAGATGTCTGAGTCTGCAGCTGAGGCAAGAAGCCAGGCAGCAGGGCCAGGATTATGCTAGATAAAGGCGACTTGCAACAATATCCCTGAACTCTGAGGAGACTGTAAAGAATCTGCATCTTCTCCTCAATCACGTAATAATTTCTGTCTTCTTCTGCTCATATTATGACTAATATGCTGTGGAAGTTCACTGTTATTTTATAGATCAAATCATAAGTTCCTAAAGGCACTATACATAGCACTAAAGCAGTCCAACTGGTGTTATCCATGACGTTTAACTAAATAGCTTCATAAGATGCCAGTGTTGGTCTCAGAAATATTTGGTGCTCTCCTGTCCTCTGAAGAGCTTCTCCCCACTGACATCTGCACTGAGCCTATGGATTTTTTACTTTTTTTCTTTTTTTAACCAATGAGAGAAAAAGTCTGCAAGTTGAAAAAAAATCATCTCACTAATGACCTGTTCTGGGGTTTGTTGAACAGCAAGAATACAGCTCTACTTTATACTGCAAATTCCTCAGTTTTCAAAGATTATGGAGCCAGTGATGAAAGTAGGCCTTAAAAACACTTTCTCTAGCATTTGATACTGATTTTCCCTTTCTTGACCTTCAAATATGTGTTTAGAATTTCCACTCCTTATTTGAATAATGGACTTTTGAAAAAAGGAGTCATTGAAATACTCTTACCCACTTGATTATTTCTCTTAGCAGGTCTAAATGTAGCCTGAAAACATATTTTGACAGTTATTTCTGTGTTCTTGTTCAGCAGACTGATTTTCTCAGGTTTAAATGATGCAATTATGGACACATTTGCAATGCTTCGTGACCTGAAAAATATTTTTAAAAGGTTGCATGTCATTTCCAAGAGCACTGGGTAATGTAGAAGCTGTTGTCTATTACTATCTGTAAATGTAAGTATTTTTTGGTTCCCAATGTAAACATCTTTTAATGGCACTGGTAGAATTATTTTTCTTTGCATATAACTGATTCTTTTTTAATAAACTAGCTTTCGGTAATGACAATAAATACTTCATTATGTCAAATTAATGGATAATCAATGTGTTTATCCTGATGTTCTAACCCTTCGATGAAGATAACAGAGGACAGAGCCCTTGTCCTGTTTTCCCAACAAGCAACCTTCTGCTCCTTTAGAGAATTTACTCACCTCTTTTGGGAGGGTGAATAAGGTAATTATTTAGTTTAATTAATAATCTAAATTTTCAGAAAAACAGTTTTCATGTAATTAATGAAAACTTTGAAAAACAGTTTCAAAGGAACCCTTCATGTAAAACCCAAACACTTTAACCAAAAGTGAAATGCATGAATCAGACCAAATGCTAGTGTGAAAGAAAAATGAGCATCTTCATTAATCAAATTTAAAAAAAAATTCTGGTACTTAGAGGAGCACCATTTTATTTAATGAAATGCCCACCAGCAGCACTTTATTGTGGTCCAAAGGTCCAAACTGACCATTTTTAATAATCTTGTTTCATTATGAAATAAATAGCAATTCAGTGATGTTTTTCTTCTTACAATGGGGAGTCTCAGGCAAAAAGACAGGTTACAGATAGGAAAGCAAGCTGTATTTTAATTTAGCTTCTCAAGCAAGTAGTGGAAAACACACAGTACTTAGGGAGGCAGAAGATTTGGGTTCTGTGAAGCCCTTCTTTATTTTCTGAAAGTACTCAGATTGCTCTGGCAAAGGACACATGCCAGAAAAGATGGGCTTCTCGCCAGAAATAAGTGCCAACTCTTTCACTGCTTTCTGTCCTTACCCTACAGGGTTAGCCTCTCCCCCATATCAGCCTGCCAGCCAGTAAAGGTCATGCAGGTTGTTTGGAAAGTGGTAGCACCTGTCTCAGGCTCGGCTATCAAAGCCACTATGGCTACTGAAGTACAACCTGCTGTTACAAGGAATCACAGAATGGTTTGGGTTGCAAGGGACCTTAAAGACCACCTGGTTTCAACCCCCTGCCACGGGCAGGGACACCTTCCACTAGACCAGGTTGCTCCAAGCCCTATCCAACCTGGCCTTGAACACTGCCAGGGATGGGGCAGCCACAGCTTCTCTGGGCAACCACTGCCAGTGCCCCACCACCCTCACAGGAAGAACTTCTTCCTAATACCTAATCTAAATTACCCTCTCCCTGGCACCACATGCCCTTGTAAAAAGTTCCCTCTCAGGATTTCTTGTAGGCCCTTTATGTACTGGAAGACTGTTATAAGGTCTCTCTGAAGCCTTCTCTTCTTCAGGCTGAACACTAGGAGAGGTACCACAGCCTTCTCTGGTCATCTTTGTGGCCCTGCGCTGGACTCACTCCAACAGGTCCATGTTGTTCTTGGTCCACAAGGTTCCCCTTGTGTTGGAGGCTCCACAGCTGGATGCAGGGCTGCAGGTGGGATCTCATGAGAGCAGAGTAGAGGCAGGATCACCTCCTTCAACCTGCTGCACATATTCCTTTTGATACAGCCCAGCATATGGTTGGCTTTCTGGGCTCTGAGTGCACACTGCTGGCTCATGTTCAGCTTTTCATCAAAAAACACCAAGTCCTTCTTCTCAGGGCTGCTCTCAATCCATTGTCTGCCCAGCCTGTATTTGTGCAGGACCTTGCACTTGGCCTTACTGAACTTCATGAGGTTGGCACTGGCCCACATCTTGAGCCTGCCAAGGTCCCTCTGGATGGCATCCCTTGCAGTGTGTCAACCACACCACGCAGCTTAATGCTGTCGACAGACTTGCTGAGGGCACATCAATTCCAGGGTCCATGTCCCTGACAAAGATGTTGAACAGGATCAGTCCCAGCACTGACCCTGAGAAACACCACTCATTTCTTGTCTCCAGCTGGACATTGAGCCATTGACCACAACTCTGAGTGTGACCATACAGCCAGTTCCTTACCCACAAAATGGATTCACAAATAACCTCAAGCAAGCCCCATTCCCTGCTGCTGCCCGTTCCTTATGGACCCTATGTCTGCACAGCAGCAGCAGCAGGTAGGGATGTCTCCTCACCCTCCTGATCATGGGCCCAGGACACTCCTGGCTGTCTCTGCCATCTGGCTTTCCCTGAATACCCTAGCTCTGCCTCCCCATGCTGCCTTGGCTTTCAGTGGTTTGATGATACATGCTTAAAAAAGGTTTAGTCTAATGGTGGTTTTCAGCAAGCTATGATAGCACTGGTGAGGCAGTGTGTTAGCTCTGAACACATGGAATAAAAGAGCTGTTTGTTTGTTTTGCTGTTTAATTAACTAAATGCTCAACTTACATCTGGATCATTAAGGATTTCCTTTCTAAAAAAGTTTACCAACCATAGCAGAATCACATTTCCATCAGCACCAACTGATAAGTCAGTAATGTCATTGTCATCTAAGTCTCTATGGCCATCTACTGATCTTCCGAAGAATTGGAGCCGTTGTCCAAAAGCCGAATCCGATCCTAAAATTTTCTGGGGAAGAAAGTTTGGTTACTGAGTTTGCCACAAGCATGCTTAAGTTTGTAGGTAGTAGCCTAAGCAACAGATTTTTACTCATACTCCCTGCATATACAATGTATTGCTTAAATGAAGTGCTTTTGTGGATGTTTTCTCCACTGCTTTTAAGCACTTTTTCCTCCCCTGTTGGAGCAGACAATGGACTGGATTTTTCTGTCTTGGGAGTAGATCAACTAACTGACTGCTGTATGCCAGCTAGTACTTACTGGAAACTTTTTAATCTTACATTGAGCAACTCAAGGAATAGGAAGCTTAACAGAACTTCTAACAAATGCTTTCTGCAACTAGAAAGTCTGCATGGAAAAGTGACATTAAAATTGCCATTATATTAGCATATAGGATATGTAAAGACTCTTGAAAGTATTTTCATTTAATACTGCATATTTATAATTTACAGAGCTGGCATTTATTTAATCTTCATTGCTGTAAATCAGCTCTAAAAACCTGAATAATGGATGTCCAAAACTGCATCGGAAATCAGGTTATTTCATACACAGGCACCAAAAGTGGTAATAGGCTCATATGGAGCATCTTGCAAGTCCTTTTCCTCTATATGCTTCAGTTATAAGCACCACAACATCAACCAGAATGGGCTGATGTGCAAAACTTGAAATAAACCAGGAAAATAACATTAGTCCTTTAAGAAGATGAAATAATAGCCAACTAACAGAAATTCATTCTGTTTGCTTCTAGCAGATCTAAAGGCACTGAGTATAGCATTATGCAACAAAGTTATTTACCTGAGAATATTTGGTACGTATAGTCTTTTGAAATCCATTGTAAATGTAAATTGCTCCAGAGTTTTGGTTTTCCAGTGGTGCGCCTATTACAATATCGTTAAAGCCATCCAAATCAATATCTGCAAGTGTTGTGATTGCTGATCCAAAGCGAGCATTTTCTGACCCCTGTGGACCTTCCAAGAGTGCTTGCTGATCCAAAACTCCCTTTAAAAAAGGAAAAAGAAGAAACAGCAAAATCACTATCATTGCACCAGATTAGACAAAGGAGTAGTATCTATGTGCATTGTTTCTTGTTTCTGTTTTCCAGTACATTCCCCCTGGACTGCTCAGCCCTGAATTCCTTCCCCATTGTATTGTCCATTCAGTTTGCATTATGTCCCAGAATCTTGGCAAGCATTACACAGCAAAATCAAAGCATGCTATGCAAAGCACTAACAGCAAATATAACCATATGCATGAAGCTTAAATGCTCTCACTGTCCTCATCTGACTGTTCTAAATGTTTCACAATACATTGAAAAATACAGTTTCCAGTTTTGGATTACAATTTTTATGCAGAGGGAATAGAAATTATGTAACTGGACATAATTCTTTGAAATAGAAATGGAATTTCCTAACTAAACTAATGCAAAAAACATGTGTCCAAATGCTAAACTCCTGACCTCTGCAGTACAAATGAAGAAATAAAGATTGGAGATCTTTATAGTTAAATAATCACATTTACACTAGCTTAAATTCAGCTCTCTGGCAAGTATCATTCTCAACTTTAACCTCAGTTATCATACTGTGCTTAAAATTATAGAAATACAGGCCAAGTTACTTATGAAAAATGATCAGAAAACTATTATTTGCGCAACACAGACAAGTTGCACACAAAACCAGGTTCCTTAAAAATAATAAAAAAATATTTTTCATTATACTTTTAAATCATCTTAAACCTTATGTTTGACAAAGACTAAAAGTTGTAAAGATAGTCTTCCCATTTATTCAGTTTCAAAACATGGAAAAAAAACCCCTTTCATCTTTCTTCCCTATTTTGTGTCTAATTCCCCAAAGACCAACATCAACTGCCATCAGCACCACTTCCAGCACCTCCATCTACCCTGAAGTTGCTTTAGCGTATACAGTTTCTGTGGCCCTGTGAGATGCTGCTGAAGAGGATGGTCCTTCTCTATTCATTTGATTATGATCTATCAAGTTAAAAAGATTGTGTTCTGTTTTCTCTGATGGATGACGGGCATTAATTTACTTTGATATCCAAATGTCCAGTGACTGCTTGAAAGACTGTTCAAAAGTACCAGAGGCTTGAGGACTATTAGTACAGATATTCTGAAAACACTTAGTACAGGTCTGAATAAAAAATACAGTAAGTCAAGCATCAGACAAATAACACTGAACAAAGGAGACAACATGAGTAATAGCAACCATCCAGTGTGAAAGTCTACAAACAATACAGAAGCTGGCAAAAGAGCATTTATTAGAACTACTTGGGGAATACTGTTAGGTGTTAAACAGTCAAATGGAAAACAATTAATTAGCAAGAAACTTGAGCTAAGTTTTTCAGAGAAATGGTCAACCTTGGGTTTGTGTAGAGTACCTTCCACAGCACCTAAAATCAGGACCAGGAAACCACCTAGAACAGCAGCCCCCTGGTCACTAGTAGTGCTTAGCTACTAACTTGCTTATCTACTAACTTGATTATTGACTCCGTTTTGGCCTGTGCCAGCTGGTTTGTTCCCAGATTACATGCACAAACAGTTCTGGGGAAAGTCTGCAGCCACTCCTTAAAGCAGAATAGGCAAGATCGCACTGGAAGGGCTCCATCCACAGTCCTCTAACCAGGCAGTCTTGGCACAATTTACCCCTGCCCTTGTGCCACAGCCTGGGAAAAGCACATGCTCCTTTCTCGTTACAAAACTACCACTCACAACATTTCTAATGCTTTGAAAAAGATACAGTAAATAGCGAATTAGGCCCTGAAGAGGCTTTTTAGCATGCACGTGGCCAGTCTGCTTTGGAAGAAGCTAGTCCAAAGCAATGCCAGCTTGAGCCAGTCTTCTGCAACATGTAACTGCGGTGTAGATCACCCTTCTCCTCACGCTCTGATATAACAGAATAGATACTGCCACTAAGTATTGTGGCAATTTGGACTGCTTTTTCCTTGATAAAACTGTAGTTCAGGAAAAAGCAGTAAATCCCTCCAGCTGCAAATGAACATATCAGCACTTACCATGGATGGAGAAGCAAGATACTTATGCCAGCTTTGCTACAGTGCCATTCTTACCTTTGTGATGGAAAACATGTATACTCTCCCTTCCTCTTTCTTCAGGTCATTCATAAACATTGGTGCACCCACAAGCAGTACATCTGTCACAGAATCCCTGTTAACGTCCACTGAACACACTACACTGCCAAAGTAGGAGCCAATCTGAAATCAGTAGTAAGAGATTTTGAAAAGCATAATGTTTTAACACCTTACTCGGAAAATTTACACTCAGAAATAGTCTAATACTAATGAGTGAAACTGGCCATTGGAATGAAATTACTATATAACATAATTCAGTGTTTGAAGAACCATATCCTTACAATGTGTCCACTGTTTCTGCCCAGTAGCAGCTGCTGTGGCTTTACTACTCAGCAATAAGAACGCAAAAAGAGAACAAGCTATGGGAAGTATGGGGTTTTTATATTAAAATGTGCTCAGGAAACTACCTGATTTCTGGTTGTCTTACAAACATACAAACCAAAATAATATAAAATCACTGCTATTTTCCAGATGGAGAAAAAGAAATGAGTTTCTAAATCTTTCTTTTGATGTCATCTATTTCACAACTTCTTGGGCCAAGTGTAGCTCACTGAGCCTCTCCCAATCAGAATTGTTGACAAATAAGACATTAAGTAGCTTTGTACATTATCTTTTACCACTAATTGGATGACTTCCTAAAGTACTGTTTAAGAATTACAGTTAACTTCATTGAAATAGTCTAGAGGCAGAAAAAAGTTCAAGTGGATTCTAAAGGCATTGCAAGAAAGGAGTTTTCAAAACAAACTGCAGTTTACTGCTGTGTCAATAAAAACAGATGCTTGCCAAAATCCGCATTCATGATCAAAATACACTTGCCTGCTCGCCTCTCTGGGACTGCACAATTGCGATATTACCATCACTGTCAACATCATAAATCACTATTCTGCCAGTGTAGTTGGATCTTGGAGCACCAGCAACAAAATAGGCGGAGCTCTGAGTTGAGAGAACAGCAACAGAATAACCTAGGGAAAGAAGCCAACATTTAACATTTGTGGGAGACCATTAACTACAAGTTGTCAGTTGGTTATCCATAAAGGTGCAGAGGATGAGTCAATCTGGTATGTTAAGTCAAAGAGACTGATGTTTCCAGACAAGAAGTGAAGCTGTCACATATGCACAAAATTTGCAATAGTCTTCTGGAGAGAACAATGACACACAGATCAAGTTGAAACAGGTTTGCAGAATAGCATGGGCAATAGTTTAGCCTACACAGACCACAAAAATGTCATCCTTGTAAAGGAGGTAGGAAAAAGAGTGCAAAGAATGAAGAAAAAAGGAGAAACATGAGATGAATATTTGGGCCAGCCTTCAAAGTAGGGAGGAACGGGAGGAACACCTAGCTTCTGCAAAGCTTGCAGTGCATTTTCCCACAGCTCACCAAACCACAGCCCAGTGCTTTGGCTGAATAGAACAGGATATTAGTACTTGTCAGCTGAAGGGCTTAGTTTGATTGAAGTTCTTTGAACATTTTAATCCTTGTTCCCATTATTCTAACATTATTTGCTTTCAGGAAACTTCTAATACCTGCAAATATTTTAAACATGTATTAGCCTATAAATCTAGCATTAGTACATATTTTACATTTCTGTGGTTTAATTACAGCAAATTTATTTTAATGGAAGAAAACAAAGTCATCCTTTATAAAGACTATAGTTAAACTGAATAATAAAATCCCAGTAATTGGGCAGAATGTGCAGGTCTTTAGTAAGCTACCAGACAATGTGAGAAGCACAGTCTAGAAGGATTATGTTTTCATCATTACATATACCAGTCTAATTCAGGTGTGTGTTCAGACACTGTCTTTCTAGGGAGAGAACACCACTGGAGACTTCAAGAAGCAATAACAGGCCAAGATTTTATTCTGAAAGATAAGGCCACATGCTCCTAAGTAAGACAGCATACAGCCATTTCAAGTGTTCAGTGCAGAACAGGGGTTAATCTAGCAAGCTGTGATATGCTGGCTCCCCTAATGGAAGGTGTCCTTGCCCATGGCAGAGGGGTTGGAACTAGAGGATCTCTTAAGATCCAACCCAAATCATTCTATGGTTCTGTAATTTAGAATGGGCTTCCCCAAACTTGTGAGAGAGACTTGGTATGGAGAGTTTTTGGTGGGGGATAGAAGGAGGTGGAAGGAAAATGAAGAGACAGAAAAGACAACAGCATTGTTTGCTCCAAGATTAAGGCCAGTATTCTAAAAGCTTCTTGTGGAGACGTGATGAAAGGAAATTACCTCATCTTTTAAAAATTATTCCAGAAAAGGGAGGAATAGAAATTCTGAAGAGATCAGACAGGCAGAAGAGCAGCTACTCATTAGGTTACATTTAGATTTATTCATTATGCTGGATGCAAGTAATGCTAAGCCACAGGGAAAACAGCATGTTGTTTGCAAGACTAGCATCTCATTAAATAACATGAAGGATAAGTTAGTCATATGTGCTTCATATAGCAGCATTATTCAGGGATGAATCGCCAGAGGAGGCACACTGTAGGTTTGCGGAAAACATTTCCATGATCTGAGAAGACAAACTGACTGGCTTTATTGGGTCACAAAGACACATGTCAGAAAATATATGGGCCTTATAAATCAGACGTCTGTCAATCTGCAGCAATACTCCTGAAACTGTAAACTGAATTGGGTAAGGCCAAGAAAAGCGAAAGAACAGATGAAACAACAGCAAGTCAATTCAGTTCAGTCAATTCTGAAATCAGCTCTTAACAGGAATCTGGCTAGAGCAGAATTTTCTAAGTTATTTAGAATCTTAATGAAGGTTTTATGTGCCCAGATTTGTATTTCAGCTCCTCACCTAGGTAAGAACTATGATTTCTGTCCTGTAGGATCTTCTCAAACACATGGCTTGGAAAGGTGGTGACTATCTCGGAAGACTCCTGTACTACTGTTCCACTCCAGTCATAGGCCCCAACGGCACCCAGCAGCAGAACATCCTTTAAAAAATAAAAGTCAACATTTCAGAGCTACCTATTTTAGAAAAAGTTTTAGCAAAGCTGAAGTCATTATGCATAATTTCCTACATTGCTGTGTTTAAGGCAGTGATTTCCCATCTAATGGAGGCAGGTTACTGGAGCTGCTTATTGTTACAACTTACATGCATGACTTCACTGCCCTATTAAGAGGGATTATCACCCCTCTACTGCAAGAAGGTAAGTGACTGCTTTAGCTCCCATGGCAACTCAAGATGAAATGGGTTTATTTAAACACTGATAATTTCCTAAATGTGTTCACCTTGATGTTGATCTTGCTTTTATGCACTCATGTCTCCTGAGGATCACAAAAGCAAAACTGTAAGAAAAAGCAAACTCCCACTTTTTGCCAACAAAAGTGCAAATGACAGAACACAAAAGCTGATGGAAAAAGATACAAAATTTAATTCCTTAAGTAAAGAGATGTCCTTGAGAGAATGTTTAAAGATAAAATCCAAATTACTATGGCTTCTTACTCAGAATACTTCATACAGAAACACTTAGACTTATACATGGAAAAGAAACATAGTTTAGATTATTCACATTATTAAAATTCTTCACTGAACTGAGAGGTCGCTATAGCAAACTGCAATGAAAATAGATTGTAAAATTTTTCTGAAGAAACTCCCAAATCTGTCTAATTTTTGCCATTTCCTAGCATCAAATGCTTGGTAAATTAAAACTTCAACTTGTGCAAATACAGAGATACAAGAAAGAAACAACCTCCCTGTATTTTCAGTTGAAAGCTGCTTGAACAACATTAGGATTTTACAAAGAAGACCTATTTGGTCAAGATGATCTTAAAATTTATTAGCATGAAAAATATATCTGCTTTACTATTCTAAGTAAAATAATCTTTTAAAAACTGTTATTAACTTTATAAATATTAGGCAAATTCTTTTCAGACTAGATTTATCTATATCTTGGTGGCTACCTAGAAATTTACCAGCTTTAAAATATGGTTTCAATTTCTACGAGTTACTCAACTGCAAAATATTAACTTGGGGAAACTGAATTTTTCATGCTACATGAAATCAGAAATCACTGAAATCATTGGATTAACACCTCTGAAAATCATTACATAAAAGAAACTTACTCAATTTAACATGTTAACATATTTTTTTTTATTTTAGAGATATACAAACTACTAGAAGCAATTTTTGTGGTATTCAAGTAAAAGAAAAAAAAAGATAATTTGACATTCATCGCTTGTAAAAAAATTGGTCAGTGTGGTTTTTGTGTCTTATTTTGTTGCACTTCTAAACATTCATGTCTAGATAATTACGTCACATTTTATCATTAAATAATTAAAATCACATACCTGTTTTTGTGAGTAATACGCACTGAAGCCCACCTGTGACATTTCCATTTGGAATGTATCACCTTGATCTGTACCTGATAAAACAGACATTCATGTATCGTTAACCCTATAGAGCCAGACAAAAGAACCAATCTTGCTGCCTCCGAGTATAGCTACATAGTGCTGTACATTATTTTTTTCCAAATCCACCAATTTTGATAAAATATTTCCAATGCTTACAAACAACAGAAATGTGACAGCTGATAAACTGTAGAATATTTGGAGGATTAATGGCAAATTGATAAGATAGTACCACAATACTATGAGTCCCTTCCAAAAAAAGGCAGAAGACCATGACAAAGATGCCTTGAATCTGCGTGCACAGTCTTGTCACTGTAGATAACCTCTCTGTTTCCTAGGAAGCACTAATAATACACTGAAATTAGCAGCTTTAATAACTGGTATATTCATGACTTTCAAACAGAGTATGAATTATTATTGTAATATAAAACTTATAAAAACCTGCTGTAATTGTCTTGAAAAATACTGTGACATCCAGGAGTATTTCCTAAACCAGACAGATGAGACTCAAGTAAAGGGAATTCAATGGGAGTACTCTGCAAAACTCAAGAGGAGGAGCTCAACCAATCCCTTTGACTTGATTGAGTGCACCCTTAGCAAGTTTACTGATGACACCAAGCTGTGATATGCTGGAGGGAAGGAATGGCATCCAGAGGGACCTTGACATGCTTGTGAGGTGGGCTGATGCCAACCTCATGAAGTTTAACCATGCCAAGTGCAAGGTCCTACACCTGGGTCGGAGCAACCCCAGGCACAGCTACAGGTTGGGCAGAGAAGAGATTCAGAGCAGCCCTGCGGAGAAGGACTTGGCGGTGTTGGTTGATGAGAAAATGAACATGAGCCAGCTTCAGTGTGTGCTTGTAGGCCCAGAAAGCCAACTGTATCCTGGGCTGCATCAACAGGAGTGTGGCCAGCAGGTCGAAGGAGGTGATCCTGCCCCTTTATTCTGGTCCTGTGAGACCTCACCTGGAGTATTGTGTGCAGTTCTGGTGTCCTCAACATAAAAAGGACATGGAACTGTTGGAACAATTCCAGAGGAGGGCCACAAGGATGATCAGGGGACTGGAGCACCTCCCATATGAAGACAGGCAGAGAAAGTTGGGGCTGTTCAGCCTGGAGAAGGGAAGGCTGTGTGGAGACCTCATAGCAGCCTTCCAGTATCTGAAGGGGGCCTATAGGGATGCTGGGGAGGGACTCTTCATTAGGGACTGTAGTGGTAGGACAAGGGGTAACAGGTTCAAACTTAAACACTGGAAATTTAGATTGGATATAAGCGGAAATTCTTTACTGTAAGGTTTGTGAGGCACTGGAATGGGTTGCCCAGGGAGGTTGTGAATGCTCCATCCCTTGCAGTGTTCAAGGCCAGGCTGGACAAAGCCTTGGGTAGCAGCGTTTAGTGTGAGGTGTCCCTGCCCATGGCAGTGGGGTTGGAACTTGATGATCTTAAGGTCCTTTCCAACCCTAACAATTCTATGATTCTGTGATTTGCATCGTGAGCCTGGTAAAGGACAGAGGTGAAACAAGGGAAGATTTTATCCTGAGCACAGGAAGTTTGCAGCCAGGAAAAGCCCCTTAGGGAAGGCTGAGAGCAGGTCACAAGCCTCTCAAGGAAGGTGTAAATTTGACATTAAAAAAGTTGAGTTTAGGGGTGACAAAGTGTCTCTGAGTCACTTCTACAGCACCTTCCTCCAAACAGTACACATAGTCTTCTGATTTATGTTTTAAATTTACACTTGCTTTAATTCACACAGGTCGATCTGACAGGCATAAAGTTACTTTTACTCCTCCAGTGGTACCAGCTCTGAATACATTTGGACCCATATGGACAAGCCCCCAGTGGATCCCTAAAGCCCATGACTTGACTGAAGTTTTCAGCAACTGAGGAGTATTTTCCACAAACTGCAGAAATTAACTTGAAGCTCAAGCTTATTAGGGGTGGGATAGCTGGTGGAACACCTGCGCAAACCAGAGCCATCCTGGGGAGCAGGGATCAGCCTGCAGTTGCAGCTGTCCCTTGCTTTCACGGTACTAGACTAAGGTGAAGCTAAATAAAATCTTTAGCTCATCAGTTGGAAAATCTGATCTAATTTTTCAGAGATGTTGAGAAGTATTTACCTTCTATACTAAAAATGCGCTCTCCAAGTGTTCCTGCTTCTTCCAGTAGTGCAGCCTCAGATGACACATTAAAGAAATACTTGTCTGTTGGATAACTAGCAATTCCTTTGATTTCTTTAATTAAGTTTTTAGTATCAAGCTCATGCCTGATTAAGTATCCCAAAACCTTGGGTAAAAAAAGAAGCAGAGAAAGAAGAGTGAAGGAAATCACTTCATTAACACATGGGTGTTAACTCCATTCAATTCAATTCGATTACCTCCATTCATATTACTGAATTGATTATCAGACTGTATTCCTACACAAGGGACCATTCAGACAGGAAAAATACATAAACCAAGGTAAAGGAGAAAACCAATGCAGTTGCTCAAGTAATTTTTTTTCTTTTTTTATTTTTTACTTTTTCTTCAGTTGAAGATAACCAGTATTTTGCTAGTTCATGGAGATTGATGCTACCTTAGTTTCAGTCTCAACACTGCAATAATGCATGCATTATATACAGCTGCTATATAGCACGTGGACTTTCATATATATGCAACAAAATGATCTTTCAAAAACTGCAATAATATATAGAGTTATAGTATTACTTACAGCAATGCCAAATCTGGTTATGTTGTCTTCATTGCATTTACCTATCACTGTTTTCAAGTTGGAGCCATCATGTGATTCACCATCGGTCACAACAACCATTACTTTTGTGGCTGTTGGACGTCCTCCTGATTCAGGTGAGAAGGCATGCTGTCTGTTATAAAATATTGGATTTAATCACATGTCAATTTATAATGGATAGAACTCAGTATGTATACTGTAATGAATATGTCCATCACTGACTTTTTAATTTGTATATTAACAGTCTGCAACAAGAATTTTCAGTTATGCTCCTGACAGCTTCTTCTCAAAGCACAGCCTTAAGAGCCATCAGAAATGTAATCAAGGAAGTAGAGAAAAATCCAACTAGGATTGGACATTATTTCTGATAGAAATGTACATGCCAGGGAATACTATATTTTTCCTGTACAAGTGCTTCTAAGTAAAAAGGGTGGTTTTTTTTGTCAGAGCTATTAATATTTTATAACACCAGAGTAGCCAGGAATTGGGTCCACCGAGTTCAAATATAAGAAGAGTATTAATAAAAGGTTCCTCAATACTAATGCAAAATATCAACTCCACTGAAGACTGAGTGTGTTCCTAAACAAATTTTTCAAGGCCATTTGATTCATTATGTATTTTGGCCTAGAGTTCTGTCCTGCAAAATAGCATCTCCCTGCTGAGAAAAAGACCTGGTTTGTATATGTATTCTGTCACAGCACATTTTGCATGCTGCTAGTGCTGCAATGACAAACTGACAACAGAATACCAATGTTACTGGTCCCATTGAATCCCTGGATAAACTTTTTATTTCTTTCAATGGTTTTGTACCTTTCCTAAAAGCTTGTCCACACTGTTCAATGAACTGTCATATTTAGACATCTGTGACAGCTCAAACAATTCTGTTGAGTACCAGAACTACTTTAGTGTAGGGTTTAACCCAAAAGTTTTGAGCAAATTTAGTTTACTTATCCTTCTACTGTTCTGCATGTGGCACTCTAAATGTACCTGAATGATTCTGCCTGGTGCTGAGAACCTTCTCAGAGGCTCCAAGCATATGCACTCCCAGTGGGAATGAAATTCAGGATGTGCTCATTATCTTGTAAGATAAGTTACAACAGTTGCACAGTAATCATCGGTGTGTTTTACCTTGCATAGTCAATGGCTTTGAAAGTATTAGTGAGATCTCCTCCCTTCTGATACGTTCTCGCCATTGCTTTAACAACCTGATCCTTTGTTTCATATGTACTCAAGTTGAACACTACACGGGGATTATTAGCATACTGAATTAAACCCACCTATGCAATAAAGAAATTATGTTAGATCATCAGGCATTACATTTACATATAATCATGACACTTACTTATTTATCATGTTGGAGTAAAAGATCTGCAGAGCACATGGGATGGAGTTATAATTTTCTTCCAACACATATAAAACCAATTAATATTAACAGGTTTGGAAAGCAAAGAAAGCTATAATGCTCTTGCACCTTATGTCATTTATTATGGACTACATTATGTTAATGCAAACAATCTGAAATAGTAGGCATTAAATGTTTGCTTGGTTACTTCTGGAAGAGCTGATGGATAGCAACAGTATGAAGAGCTCTGGGAAAAATGAGATAATAGCAAAAATTCTATAAGCTGACAGCACCTCAATCTGATTTCTTCTAAGAAAATTGTAAAGGTTAGTTACTTGACAGCACTGCAAACCCTATTTATTTTTAATAGAGGTGAAGCTAAAGACATAAGCTAAGTACATTTAATATGAAAGAAAAAAAAAAAAGAGATAAGGTTCAGAAAGGACTGAGAAGGAAGCCTAGCTTTTAAGCACCTCACTTCCAAACTAGCCCAAGGAAGAAGGCAGCCTTTGGGAGAGAGATTTCCAGTGCCCCAGTCTTTGTTCCCAGAACTGTTTATGGAAAATGGACAACTGCAAAGACAGAAAATGTTTTTTTTAAAAAAAAAAAAAGCAAGTAGTAAAATTTTCCTTACCACCATCAAATTAAAAGGAAAAAAGAACACAAAGGTCAGAGAGTAACCAAGCAGGAAAAACTATTTTAAAGATGCAGCAGATGAAAGTAAGACCCATATGAAAAACCTGTAAAAAAATCTACTCTACTTTTACCACATGCCCACAGACTGTATTTTAATTCGCTTTACACATAAGGCATGAAAGAGATCTGAGTCCACTAGCTATAACCTAGACTTTTATTTAAGTTGGTTTATGTTTGAATCAAGTTACTAATCCCTTTCAAAACAGGTTAGCTGTGAAATAAAAAACAATACTGAAAGGTACAGGACAACAGCATAACCTCTGGCTTTGAGGGAGTACTGTAGTAGACTTGGTTTCCTTTACATTTGCTAGAAAAACCCGCTGTCTTTTCATTTTTTGGTCTCTCTCTAGGAGGTCTGTGACTTACCTGGGTTTTGTTAAGGCCTATGTCTAAGCCTTGTACAAACTTTTTCAAAAATGCCCGCACTGCATCCCAGGGATAAATGCTGTTTGACTCATCACAAACCACCACGATGTCTATAAGGGAGGAACACTCTAAAAAATAAAAAGCGGACATTAAATACACTTTCAGTCTCAATACAATTCTTGGGCTAAATTCAGAGGTGCACATTTAGGTCTCACACAGACAACACTTCAGATCAGGAAGGTTTTGCCAGAATGAGGACTCAACAGAAGCATATGCAGATTTTGAGCCTGCACTGGTTCTGTGCCTCTTAATTCAGAGGAGTGAGTCCATATTTATACTGGCATTGGGTCACAATTTGTAAGTCCTTACATGTGACTCACAGGACTTTGCTATTTGCACATATATTAAAAAAAAAACTACAAACAACAAAACCAAAACACCCCACAAATTAGTAGTCCCTGACAGAACATATCTTGATTTTGTTTGATATGCTTTCTTAATAGAATCTGTTTTGCACATGTTGTCTTACTTTGAATAGCAGGAGTAAAGCTTCGTAGGAGCTGGAAACTTGGATTGATTTCAGAACAGACTCCTGTTGCATAGTATTGGCTTCCACACTGCTGTGCCCACAAAGGACCACAAGTCTTAAAAGTAACAACAAAAAGAAACTATAAAAATGACAAATACTTGTCTTACTTTATCCATACACAAAAGCACAATAAGCACAACTACAGGCATATAGGATCAGAGGAGCCCTCTTGGGTAATCAAGCAAAATCCCTTGCAATCACAGAGTAACCCCTCTCACAGGCTTTCTCACTGAATGGATTTTCTATTCATGATCATCTTCGTGCCTCCTTCCGCAAGCTGACCCCTCCAGACTGTGCACAACTATAACAACTAGGGAGTGTGACTTGTTCTGCAAGGAATATGCACTGCTTTAAGCCACCTGCTCTACAAACTGTTAGTTTAAATCTTGGGCTGGTATTTCCACATTTGCAGAGAAGTTCTCCTACTAACCAGGAGGTGGCACCAGAGCTACGAGCATGCAGGACGCTGCGAAGATGCGAAAGTTTTTCTTTCGGTAAATCCGATTACCTCCAACAGTGCGAGCGACTGAAGGGTTTAGCGATCAGTGAGCACATACACATATATTCGTTTGAGAAGCCTTGTTCCTAAGGGAAATTCACTTTGTGAAAATAGTTATAACCTAAACGTTTTCATCGTCTCAAGGGAGGGTGCAGCCTCACGTTATGCACTGTCCTATTTAGCCCTCAGCTACATATTTCACTGCCTTTCAGTGCAAGTAATCTTGCTTCTTTGCTGCAAATAATCTCTGTAAAAAGAAACTGGTTGCATGATAGCCACACCTCTGATATTAGAAGGATAGGTGCAAAAGTACCTAGATAAAAAAGATGGACACTGAGACAGAATTTTTTAAATGAGGATATTTGGGGGAGCAGGAGGGATTTTCTTTTTGAATAAAAAAGATGTTAGGAACAGAAAATGCACCATCTCTGTTTAGGAAGAGAAGAGAGAGTGAATGGCACTATTACCCTTTTCTCAAGAATACTGAAAAAAGACGATTAAAGGCAGAAGTAAACTGAAAATCACATATTGGTTTACCAGTGGTGAGCCACATCAAACTACCTTAACATGTTTGATAAGATGGCAGATTTTCTACAAAAGAGAAAGGAAATTCATCTACATAATCTGATATTGAGATAAGTGCTCTTTCTAGCTACTAAATGGGGCATGATAAGTTTTACTGGAAAAGATAGGTACTTGAAGAGGTGAGAGGTACAAAATGTCTATATTGGTAACATTGGTAGCATAAAACTTCTGTATTGGTAATTGTGAAGCTGGAAGAGTGCTACTAGTCTTTAAATTAAAGCTGTTTTTTCATTTAAAGTTCTTTATAGATTAATCTCATTTGCCTATTTTCTAGTTTCCTTCTGTATTAATGGTAACTCAAAATTATGATGTTAACCTTGAAGAAAAAACAGAAATGTTCTAAAATGTTCTAATAAACTTTGCTGTTCTTAAAAAAAAAAAAAAAGACATTCAAATGTTCTAGTGTTGTAACAGAGACTTAAGACGCAACATTAATGCAGGGGAAACCTGGGAGATCACAGAACCGAGGAAGTTGAAAACTGGAATAGTAGAAAGGGGCATAGACCTGTCCGTAAGGACTGATGTTAAGAAATGTGGACATAAACTAGTTGCTCATTGAGTGGAAAAGTGAACAGCAGACTGATCAGGCACTGGCTGACTGCGGGGTGATGTAAGCTTGCAGCGAGCATGCAAATCAAATATGGCCTGAAGATATGTGAAAAGAAGCACCTGCAGTTGAGACGGAGAAATTAAAAGTATGCTATATAGTGCCCTAGAAACACGTGGAATACAGCAAAAGTATGTGTTTGTTTGGCAAATCAAAGGACAAATGAGCAATTGTGGGGTGTTAAATACAGAAAGGAGATTTTACATGTAGGAGACAGGAGCTGTTCCTTTCAAATAAACACAAAGTACTTCCCCAGAACCAAACTGACAGAAACACAGATCAGAAATCTGTAAAGAAGTTGTTAACCATCAGTGAAATTCTTAAGCACCTTTCCAACAGGACTAAGCATGCCTCAGAAAAACGTAATGAGCATGTGGAAATTGCTGCCCTGTACTTAAGATACCTGTGGGAAGCAATCACATGGCATCAAATTAGCTGAACCAGCAGGACTCACAAGCTATAGCACAGACATGCCAGGCTGGGTCATGCTCCAGCCAAGCAGTGCAGGGATGCAGCACAGATGTGTGCAAGCTGAGATGGAGGCTGAGAAGCAGCCACAGGAGGAAGAAGCACAGTAATCTGGGGGAAGAAGCTCTGAGCTAAACCAAGTGTCCATCACAGAGGCCAGCTGCCAGAGACTGTCTCAGAGAGAAGTTGAGGCTGACAGCAGCCTGCAGCGACAATCAGACGGTGTCTTAGTTGTGGCAAGAATTAGACAAGTCCTGGAGCTTTCGATATTTGTTGAGGCTGTTTAGTACAGATTTCCTTATGTCAAAAAGAGCTCCTGTTGCCAAAGACATGGCTAACTGTTCATGTCTTACATGAAAACATAATTTTTTCTTACTTTATGAAATTTAAGGAGAGTCAATCAATAATGTATGGATCAGGAAATTATTTTTAACTGAGAGAAGTTCAAGTATTCAAGAAGTTCCCTGGGTATGCATAGGAGGGTTGCATTAACAGCAACCAAAGGTATTATCCAAGAGACAGAGTAAGATTTTTTTAATCAGTGTTTTCTCAAAACAACCATCAAGAAGAAAACTTGATGTATTTGAAGTTCTGATTAACTTTACTCCAAGAATGCTGCTGGAAAGGTTGGTATGAGACTCAAGTACTTCAGTGAACTGAGCTAGGTGGTAATGAAAATAATAAACATTTGAATATTTCTTGCAATTATTAGGAAGATGCAACACAAAAATGTGAAGCTTAAAGTGAATCTCAAAGCTCCTCTGTTTGTTGTTTCACTTAATTACTGCACATGCCTACAATGATGCATCAAACTGGAATACACTTACACTGCAACAGTTTTCATGCTTATGCTTAGGATTGTAAAAAAGATTATTAAGAAGGCATCGACCTCCTTTCAGTTATGCAATCTGTTTTACGGACCCCAAGGAGAGTGGTCTGCAAAACATACACATATTTTGTGTATATCCTCCAGCTTACCAAATAAAACTTATTGTAGATCCATGGAACTAGAAATGCTAACATCCCAGGGTAACAGCCTCTGTGCAAGCGCATATGGAAGGAGGCAGACTCCATGCTGTCTTTCAAAAGTGTAACCAGAACTATATGAGATTGTCTTAGAGATGCTCATGGTGGAAATATTCTTGCCTATGTTGTCTGACTCACTATAGAGTCTTTAAGTATGTGCCCTTCCACAGGATATTTACATAAATGATGGGAAGATTCCATAATTTTCCTGACTTTTGAACAGATAATGACAGTAGGATGGAATATTTTAAGATATGCAAAATATGTACTAATCTATGTTGCATAATAAAATATATTCAACTTGGATTTATAAAAAGAAATGTGGAGAATTCTAGTCTCTTCATTGTCCTCAGGAATTTCTGTGTGTATTGAATATGTCCTTGATACATACCAAAAATCCTCCTGTTTTTGAGTTCTGTATCAGAGTTAACCCAAGGTTCATTACTTCCTTTCTCTCAGTCACATTTGGAATATTTATTAGGGCTGAAAGAAAAAAAGATTAAATAATGACAGAATAGTAAATAAGATATAGGAGCAATTTAGTAAGTTAGAATTCATTTTCAAAATCTTGATTTCTCAGGATCTCAGATTCCTTTTCCAAATGGCTGCCTATGATTCTGAAACAAAAGGAACAAAAGCTAATCTTCATCAAAAATTTACTAACTGTTAACTATAGACATGAATTCAGTATGTCCATTTAGAGGACCTGCACTTGAGGGAGATAAGAGCAACAGAGAGGAAGAAATGCTATTTTTGTGTATTTTTGACTAGCTGAGTTGCTGCAGCTGAGCAGCTACTATTACATTCCTCAGGACACCAGACTCCTCTGATCCAGTATCAGGTTTTAGACAAAAACGTGGAAGGAGCAGTGGAGGACAGAAATGATCCGCACCACAAATAAACATAAAACAGGCATCGCAGCACATGCTGCTTCCCTATATTTTCACTGTATCCAAAAGAGAATCCTATTTTATGCTCAGTTTGCAAACACACAGAGGCAGAAAAGGCTTCCTGTGCCCTCACACACTCATCCCTCATGCACTCCACATTGGGAAGTCCCCCTGGGCATCCCAGCATGGACCTTGCATCTGCATGATACCTGGACCTGAGGTGCCCATCAGTTGGCTGGTCCAGCTGAGCAGTTTGCTAGTGCACATACATACATGCCAGGTTCGGGTAAGATGCAGACAGTCGCTGCACCAGAGCCCCCACTAGTCCCTTGGGCTGTGACCCATGGTTCTGCACCATCTGCCAGCGTGGGGCCCTCCATGACACAGAGCCCTGGTCCTTCTGCCATCAGCTGGTTTTGGGACACACACTGCTCCCAGCCCATAGCTCGAGGTTAAAGGCCCCAGTTGCTGCAGTATCTGGTGCTGAGATCAGAGGTCAGGACACACATAGCCCAGCCTGACTCTAGCAGTCGGCACCAGTTTTGGCTCACATACACACAGGTGTCACCTGCAGCTGGCAGTGAGTCCTTGAAGCATTCACACACACATACAAAGAGATAGTTAAAAGTTTCAACAAGATAGATAGGCCTGGTATAAAACCAAGGAAAAACTGAACAACTGTAACAAGGCATTATTTATTACAACTTACCTTGTAAGTTCAGTTTTTTACATGTGGTTTTGGACGTACCAACAGGACATGCATAGATATCCCCAGTTCTGTTAGAGGGATAGCCACTCCAGGGTGAACCAACCAACAACCTAAAGTAACAGGAACTTCGTTAGGTCTTTAATAACACTGGAAAAGTGCAGTAGCACCACTGCATAGCACACTTTAGGCTAACAGATTAAAAGGCTTTTACCAGATGTAGCACCTAAAGCACTCAAGAGTCTTCTCCAGAGCTGCTCAGAAGCTTTACTTGATGTAAGTACAGTGGATTCAACAGGGACAACTTTGGTGGAGGAGCCTCTGGGGGTTAGGCTGCCTCAAATGCATGTACTGTTGTTTCTGTGACAGTTTGTCACAGTGTCAGAAAAAATACAGCAGAGATACTAATACGTACAGATGCATAGAAATTTTGAAATACATACATTGGTGATTGAGACACAAAAAAAGTTATTGTCTCATCAGTTAATAGTTAACTTATTCCTTTTGAGTTATTATTTTAGCTGATAAGAACCATTTGCTGCAGGATCTGCTCAGCAACAGTCAAATGCTTATGTCTGAGCTTAAGCACTACCACACCTTGACCACACTGAGTCAGAAAGAAAACACTGCAGGTGGTAACAGTCTGCTGCACAAAGTGTTTAATCCTGAACAAGAAATTTAAGACTTACGGTAATTTGTGCCTACAATACAAAGTGATTCATTTTCTCAGACTCTTTCTATGTCTGCCATGAGGTTTTCCCTCCAATATCTGCTCCTCAAGACCACTTCAATTTTACCTGAAAGCCTTCAAAAAGCTTGGAATACTGCTTGAATACCTATTTTTCAGCATAAGTCCATGAGAGAGCAAAACCAACAGACAGTATAGGGACACAAAGTGCTGGCAAGGACCACTTATTATACAGTTTAATGTCCAGTGAAATAAGGGTACGGAAAAACATTATCATAAGAAGATGATCTCAAGATACATGGAAAAAAAAGTGAAACAGTTCATTAGAAATCAGAGACTGGGTTTTCACCCCAGCAGCAATATGGCTTTCCTTTCATACAGATTTGTCTACGGTTATACTTAATTCATTTATGGGACAGTAAGAGGACAAGAAATGGGATTCCACTGCAGAGTATGGAGTATCACAAGAAAACACCTTTTCTAGTAGGTCAACAGGTTGCTAAAAGCAAAATTATTGTTCTCTGAAATTTTGTAAGTAGCTACAAGATAACAAGCCAAGAAACCTGGACTTGTGCAAAGCACTCGACACTGTCCCACATGACATCCTTGTCTCTAAATTGGAGAGACATCAGTTTGATGAATGGACCACTCAGTGGATAAAGAACTGGCTGGATGGCCGCATGCAAACAGTTGTGGTCAAAGGGTTAATGTCCGGCTGGAGACCAGTAACAAGCGGTATCTCTCAGGGATCAGTGTTGGGACCGGTCTTGTTCAACATCTTCGTCACTGACATGGACAGTGGGATTGAGTGCGCCCTCAGCGAGTTTGCCGATGACACCAAGCTGTGTGGTTCGGTTGATACGCTGGAGGGAAGGAATGCCATCCAGAGGGACCTTGACATGCTTGTGAGGTGGGCTGATGCCAACCTCATGAAGTTTAACCATGCTAAGTGCAAGGTCCTACACCTGTGTTGGAGCAATCCCAGGCACAGCTACAGGTTGGGCAGAGAAGAGATTCAGAGCAGCCCTGCGGAGAAGGACTTGGGGGTGTTGAAATGAACATGAGCCGGCTTCAGTGTGCCCTTGCAGCCCAGAAATCCAACCGTATCCTGGGCTGCATCAAAAGGGTGTGACCAGCAGGTCAAAGGAGGTGATCCTGCCCCTTTACTCTGCTCTCGTGAGACCTCACCTGGAGTATTGTGTGCAGTTCTGGTGTCGTCAACATAAAAAGGACATGGAACTGCTGGAACAAGCCCAGAGGAGGCATGAGGATGATCAGGGAACTGGAGCACCTCCTGTATGAAGATAGGCTGATAAAGTTGGGGCTGTTCAGTCTAGAGAAGAGAAGGCTGCGTGGAGACCTCATAGCAGCCTTCCAGTATCTGAAGGGGGCCTATAGGGACGCTGGGGAGGGACTCTTCATTAGGGACTGTAGTGACAGGACAAGGGGTAATGGGTTAAAACTTAAACGGGGGAAATTTAGACTGGATATAATAAAGAAATTCTTTACTGTGAGGCTGGTGAGGCACTGGAATGGGTTGCCTAAGGAAGTTGTTAATGCTCCATCCCTGGCAGTGTTCAAGGCCAGGCTGGATGGGGCTTTGAGCAACCTGGTCTAGTGGAAGGTGTCCCTGACCATGGAAGGGGATTGGAATGGATGGACTATAAGGTCCATTCCAACCTAAACCATTCTGTGATTCTATAATTCCAATGCAAGAAACTTGTACTATTAAAAGAACACGTTGTTATGTTTCAAAGCAATTGCTATATATCATACAAACTTTTCAGGAGTCCTCTGATTTTACTGCTGCAAATTTATAATTAGTTTTAATAAAACAGCTTTGATAAAAACACGTAGTTTTAGAAGCACAAGTAAGAGCTTGCGTCCTTCTTAGCTTTCTCTAAGAAAATAACTGCTAGTTGCATATTTTTGTTTACTTCACAGAAGCAGCTAGATTCGAAAAGACCTTTAAGATTATAATGCCCAATTGCTACCCCAGGACTGCCAAGTCCACCACTTCACTTAAAGCCTTGTTCAGGATAACTTTAGATTCTATTTCACGTGTATCAGAATATTTTAAAAATACCTACTGCCTTCTCAATTACTTTGTTGAAAAACAGTGATTACACAGGAAGCAGGAACAGGATTTTGTGTACTTCTAGCATCTCTAAACATGCCATTCATGTTCATATAAATAACTCTCTATATAAAACCACTGTATGTTACACTAGCTGTGAGGTAGCTTCTTATATTCTTGCTACGTTCTGAGGCGTACAGTCTTTTCTGCACAGTGGAAACCAGATCCATCATAGCTGAGGACCCAGTAATCAGGGTTCATGAGTCATGTACCAGTAGACGATGCAACCAACAAATACCTACAGTGACACAGAGGACTGGATCTGGTCAGTAGTGATTGTCAGGATGAAAGCATGATATACGGTCTTCCCCCTTGTTAGGGACTATAGAGTTAATTACTGTTATAAAACACTAACCGGGCTGACTGGAGAGAGAAAGGCCTAACAGTTTTCACTGAAACACAAAAGAGTTTAAAGAAGGATGGCAGCACTGCATGTGTAATATCTGAAACTGGAGCAGTTTTTCCTCATTAACTGTCAAGCTGAACATTGCACTGTCCATTTATAAATACTTGTATGTTTTTTCTAAGTTTCCCAGAAGGCAAATGTATTTCAGAGTCCTTTCCTGAGGACAGCTACTGTTCAAAGAATGACCTTAACAGATCTTGGAAATACCCATGCACCACTCCATCTGGAGACAAACGCTATCCACAGAGCTTAGAAAAAGCAATTCTCTCCCTTTCAGCATGCATACTTATGCTCACTCTGTGGGCTTTAAGATGCTCAGCAGTAGTGGGAGCTCTGAAACTCGTGTTTCCCCCAACCTCAAAATCTATTTAAAACAAGGAATTATCACTCTTTATACCAAATCCACTTCTAGGACTCAATAGTCAGAACAATTTTACTTTTGTTAGAACTACCCTTGTAGGTGTTGTGTGGTACAGACAGAAAAATGTAAGCCAAACAAGGCAAACTCTTCTAATCTTAAACCCAAACCTAAATCTATGCCAACTGTGTCCAAAGCAAACTTAATTTCGTCTTTCATTTAGCTTGCACTCCTTATACTTTACCACAAGTTATTATACGGTATTCTACTTTGTTGTATTAGCTTTCTTTGTAGACTTGTACCATGAAGAAATCTCAATGCTATAACTATACTGTAAACCAAAAAATGCCACCCTGTACACAGAATTGAACACTGAGAACTATTACTGGCACTGTGACTTTCAGAAATGAACAGTTATTAACCCCTTTCCCTTATTTGACTTAATTAGCCCATCCTGCCATCAATACGCTCCTGAGAAAAAGTTACTAACCAACTTTTGCAAAGCCTAGCCCTATATATTTGATATTAATTGCAAAGCCTAGCCCTATATATTTGATATTAATTGTCATACTTAAACATCCTAGGAAATAACTTAATTATTATTTCTTTCATATCCTGAGCCTTACTTAAGCTTAATACTAGCCTTAATCTATATTAGAAATCAGCAAGTTCTTCTTGCCTTTGGAAAGTAACATAAACTGTTACAGTAGAGAGTTACACAATATCCCTCTGGGAAAATGCATGAGTATCTTTCTGAAACATCAGAAGTGAAGAAAGTAGAAGAGTATCTGGCTACCATCCTGCTAACAACGAAGTATTTTTTACTGTGATTAAACACGATGCACAGAAAGCAGAATGAAACAGAATGGACCAGGAAAGAATGTAAGAAATGAACACTAAAATACCTGAAAATGCTTGTTTCCAAATAAACTGTATAATGTATGGTGTATTAATTAAGGGTAATTTTCAGCCAGGAGTCAGACATTTTTTTTTTTACAAAACTTTCTTACATGTCCTTGTAGACTGTCTTAAAACAATACTATAGTGATTAGTGTGTAACACTGCCACTGTTTTTGCTATTCAGCTCCTTAATAAGTCTCCAACACTGTATACAAAGCAATGGAACTACAGGAAGTCAAATAGTTCAGCAGCAATGCCATACCACACAGGCTGCAGGAGTGGCAGATCAAAGTGCAACAGGAATTATTTCTGGGAAATTACACCATGACAAAGCTAGTAACTGGCAAAGTGTGATGTAGCAGAAAACAAAATCAGAATTCATGGTGAAGGGCTGAATTCCCAGCTGTTGTAAGAGCAAGTTTTATATTTTCTTGTTTCCTTTTTTTTGTTTTTCTCTCCATGCATTCGCTCTTTCATGTATTTTCTAAACACAAAGATGGCTAATAGGAAATAGGAAAACAGAAGTAGAAAGGGCCTCTTAAATCATCTGGCCTTTCCCCTACAATTGCAGGAAGTGATGAATAGATATGAAAACCAGAAAACTCTTCACTCTCAGAGATGCTTCTCTGCACACCCTAAACCACTTCTCACCATCTAAGATTTCCAAACTTTTGAATAAAATACTCAAAACTTCAAAAACTACAGTGAGCTATGGCAAGAGTATTTAATTGACAGACTTAAAAGGTCTAGAAGACAGAAGGCAGAGCTGCTCCAAGCAGTGAAAAGGCAAACTGTAAGGCATGCAATCAGACTAAGCAAAAACGGGAGGGAGAACTCAGTGTTAGCAGTGGTCCTGGCACTGAAAAGACAGAGCTGTAACAATAGCAGCTTTTTCTTAAAGGAAAAAAAAAAGTTGGCAGAAATTACCCTCCTCATTAAAATCATAAGGCTTTAAAATGTATTGATTTCAACAACAGTTGCTACACAATGTGTCTTTTCAGCAAAAACACCTCATTTGTCTGAAGAGGCAGGACACCACCTCAGGAGAAAGGTCATTGGGCTGTGAGGACTAGTGGGAAGTATGTGGTGATTTAAATAAAACTATTTAGTAGTGCAGTGATTATGTGATACATCCGTAATGGCAGCGTAAAGTATCATTACTGACACGATACAGAATGAAACAAGATACTTCAGAAAAATCCCATTAAAAATTCTCAAACAAAATTTAAAAAATCCAAATCCTAAGCACACAGACACAACTGAGCAAGGTGACTGCAACTTGATATCAACCAGCTCCTCAGCAGCAGTCTGAGATTTTAGCACTGTTGTGGGATGTACCCACAGACTGAAGACACATTTGTGTAGAACAATGCATTTAGTTATATACTGTTACCCGATCTTCCTCAACTGGGACAGATATAAAACCAAGTATGAGCATGAAGTAAGTACTGCTATCCTTGTAGAATGTAGTGGCTTCTGTTCTGGGCATGCACGTTCAAGACAAACTCTACAGGGTACAATCTGCCTTTCTAAAAAATTGTGTTTATAAAATGACAGAACTTGATCTCAATTTAAGGCTCAAATACAGGTGATCTCATGATAGGGAGGGAGAAAGAGAGTGTAAACTGAATGATGTTTCTGTAATTACTTGTGTGATGGGCTGTCTAAACCTTTCTTACCAATGAGTTTCTTTGGTGTTCACAACCTCATTAAAGAGGTTCTGTTTAGAAAATCCCAGCAGACATCGTGAAAAGCTTGAGCTGTGCTTGACTTGCAAGTTTGTCCTTATTTATGAGCCTCACATGCCATCAATGCTCATCAGTGCACAACAGTTCAGTGACCAATTATCCTGGATCATCTAACTGTAAACAAAAAGGGCTCCCTTGCTGGTTTGTGTCATGGTTTTCCAACATATACAAGTCTCCTTTATAGCCCTGTGCTGCTGGTTTGACTGTCTTCCCTCTCTCTCTGAACTCATCTTCAAGCAAAAGTGATAACATACCACTGTCTGAAGTCCAACTTCTGTAAAGATTTTCCTCTCTTTATCATTTTCTATAGCTCTTGTTGCCTCAGGAGATGTACCTCCCAGAAATACAGCTGAATAATGTAACTAGCATCTGTTGTTTTTTTCTGTATCTCTCCTTTGTAATCTTTGAGAGTGTACAGGAGGATTTTTAAAGCTGCATTTGATACAGCAGCACGTGATTTTATTAACAGAAGCAAGGTCTAGGAAGTGATGAAATTTCTGGCAGATCTCAGATTCTGGATAACCTCTCCCTTGGAGGAAGATGCCACTCCAGCAACATTTGATGTTGTGAGCACCCCCACCGTGCCTGAACAACATTTTCAAGTGCATCACATTCTTGGTGCACAATGATGGTCTCCATAAAAGCATACAGTGATAAACACTTCCCTGAACAGAAAGCAGCATCCCGTTCTTATGCAAAGTTCAGACTGTTTATCTCACTCCTAACTCAGCCATGTCAACAAGGCCTTTGCACACAGACTGCAGCCTCTGCATTGCTTGTAGAAGAAATCAGCTCCACTGAACAGCTTGAGTGGTGTTAGGCTTTTTAAATTTAAATACTGCACAAAAGAAAAAGCTCTATTGTCCCAGGGGAAAAAAAAAAAAGGGGGGGGGGGGGGAAGGAAAATAGCTTAGAAATGAAGAGAACAAGAGAGTAAACCATGACCAACTTTTTTTTTTAAGGTTGTTCAGTGATTTCTTCAGAGAGACACTGAAAAGACCTTTTCTTCACTGAAGAGTCTCTAACAAGTCACGGTTATTCAAAGAGCTGCTAGAATTCCCCTGATTTTTGGAGCTATGATCAGACACTGTGCAGTGAATGAACAAATAATGAAGTGCCTGTCTACAAAAGTTTTCCAGATTCGTAATATTTTCACGCTTGGGAAGAGATTGGTTGGACTCAATGATCTTAAAGGTCTTTTCCAACCTAAATTATTCTATGATTCTGTATAATAGGAAAAGTTAACCGAAAGTTACTTGTTTTCCTGAACTGTATCACATATGATCCAAGAATGTGGTAGTGGAGGGGTTTTATTAGAAGCAAAAATTAAACAGGGAAATACAAAACAGAACTAGGTTCCAGACTAATCCTGGAACCTCCATCTCCTGTTGCAAGTTTGTAGATAAATATACAAGAAGGCTAAAACATGGGACGTAATTTCTCCATCTATGAGCCAAAGCATTCAATTCACTTCAGCAGACATTCCTGAGCTCCTTCAATGGCTTTACAAAGAAGTTTCAAAGGAAGAGAGCTCTGATTTATGGGTGACTAAACACATCATTAAAGCAGGCAGAAACACAGCGAGAAGCTGCTACAACATCAGTCAAGGAGTGGGGGTAGGTTGAGAGCCTACTCAATGAGTTCTCAGTTCAGAGGACACAGCTCTGTTCTCTTCTTGGTTTTCCTCCTGGTCACTGGTGTTAAACAGTAATGCTGGAGATGCAGTGACATCTAGGTAGTCTTATATCTTTGCATAGGCAATCAGTTTCAACTGCACAGGGTCTCTGTGCATCGCTATGCATAAATATGTCAGCTCAATATTTTTGTATGGTCGTCTTTTGCAAACTTTAACTGTAAAATACATTTTCAAATGCATTTCCATGAATTTCAGATTTTGACATCTTACTTTCTTTTTACTGAAAAAAGTTCAGCTACTTACTATTCTCCCATCATCACTTGAGCAAACATGCCACTTTGTGGGTATTTTGGTTCTGACACTGTTTCAAACGACATACATCAAAATATTGCCTTGGCCTATGATAATATACATGACTTGTGCGACTTTCTGCTATAGACTTAATACTGTGCATACACATATAACCACTCAAAGTAGTTAAGTACCACTGAACTATTTATAGTAATGCAGTCCTTGCCGTAAAAGACACATTAAGCTTTGTGGTTCCTGAGACTGCAGAGAACAAAATAATGTGTCTTCCACTAAATGGGCTTACTCTGGGTTAGTATTTTCAAGTTCTTTTTGAAACCAACATTACTATTAAAAATATTTTACTAATTGCTTATCAAGCCCAATGTTGTGACAGCAGTGGATTTCATGTCAAATTTTATGGCTGAAGAGATGCAGCAGACAGCAAGGCCTTGACTAAGGTTTTATTACATACAAGCAAACATACCATCCCTTGGGAAGTGAACATTTATTGCTGTATCAGACACAAAATGATATAAGCTCACTTATTTTAATATTAACATTAATTAGAACTTCTCAGCCCAAATAATTTGTTTTACCTCAACAATGTTAAAATGGAAAAATATCCTGTGTGTATGTGTAACAAACCAGGAAGGAATGAAATGAGTTAAAATTTTACAGAAATCGTGAGTCTGAAGAAACCAGTGTATTGGACGTGAAAGTAAAAGATTAACAGAAGACCTCAGATTGCACAGTGTGAAGAGAAAAAGCCTGAACCTTCAAATGCACCTGTCTTTAAAATATGTCAACTTTTGTTTTAATAATGTAAGTATTTATTATAATCTGAAAATGAGTTAACCAGAGCACATTTAAATGAAATGCAGAATAATAAAAGTAAATTTCAACAGTTTTTTCTTTAACTTTTAACTGGACATATAACAGGCTGTTCAAGCTTACCATTTGCCTTGTTCATTTATAATCTGTTGAACTGTATATCCGAACTGTTCTCTTGGTGGACCAGAAAATATTTTTGCTTCTAGTATCCCAACATTGTAGGCTTCACAGCAGTTATGAAGAATGCCTGTTAACAGAAACATTATGATCATCACAGAAGCAATTAAAGAAGAATTTTGATCCCAGTGAAAAAGGCTCTTCATCTGTGCCAGCTCCCCCAGTGCAAGAAAATAAAACTTAGCCTTTGACACATGCAAGAAAAAACACAGCCCTTTTTCCTACAGCACCCATCTGCCCATGCATAATGCTTGTCTAGCACTCTTTACACGTATTATAATATTGTGGGTAGAGATCAATGACTCATTCATTGTTTGCCTTAACAAAAGTTGCAGCATTACAAACAGGAATGTTTTAGCTGAAGGGAGGCAAGAAATACGATTCAGAGGTCTGTTATCCTCTTTTACCTTAAGGCATCAGTTACGCTTATGGCACAGCAAACACATTATCAGCCTGCTGAGGTACATTAGAGGTACAAAGACTCGTAAATTGGAAAAAGACCTTTAAGACCAACATTAAGCTAGCACTGCCAAGTCAACCACTAAACCACATCCCTAAATGCCACATCTACGTGTCTTTTAAATACCTCCAGGGATGGTGACTCAACCACTTCCCTGGGAAGCCTGTTCCAACGTTCGACAACACTTTCAGTGAATAAATTTTTCCCAATAACCAATCTAAACCTCCCCTGGAACAACTTTAAGCTGCTTTATGTTGTACTATCACATGCTACCTGGGATAAGAATCCAACACCCACCTCTCTTCATCCTCTTTTCAGGTAGTTTTAGAGAGTGATAAGGTCCCCCCCGAGACTTCTCTTATTCAGACTAAACACTCCCAGGTCCCTCAGCCGTTCCCCATCACACTTGTGCTCCAGACCCTTCACCAGCTCCTTGCTCCTCTCTAGACCCTCTCTAGCACCTCAATGTCTCTCTTGTAGTGAGGGGCCCAGAACTGAACACAGGATTCGAGGTGCAACCTCACCAGTGCCAGTAAAGGGGATGATCACTGCCATAGCTCTGATGGCCACCCTATTGCTGATACAGGCCAGGATGCTATTGGCCTTCTTGTCTGCCTGGGCACAAGCTGGATCATGTTCATTTCCATCAATCAGCACCCTCAGGTCCTTTTCCATGAGCAGCTTTCCAGCCACTCTTCCCCAAGCCTGCAGCATTGCATGGGGTTGGTGTGGCCCATATGCAGGACTCAGCACTTTGCCTTGTTGAGCCTTATACTATTGGCCACAGCCCATCAATCCAGCCTGTCCAGATCCCTCTGCAGAGCCTTCCTATACTCCAGCTGATCAACACTGCTGTTCAGCTTGGTGTCATCTGCAAACTCACTGTGGGTGCACTTGATCCCCTCATCCAGGCCACTGATAAAGACATTAAACAGAACTGGCCCCAGTACTGAGCCCTGGGGAAGAGCACTTGTGATCGGCTGCCAACTGGATTTAACTCCATTCACTGTAACTATTTGGGCCTGGACATGCAGCTAGTTTTCATTAAAACGAAAATGCACTGACTGTAACTGCTAATAAGTTTTATATTCTAGAGTCTATCTTCAACTTCATGTTTGAAAGACTAGAACAAAAACCAGATTTTCTACTGCATCAGATAACCTACACTTTTGAGTCGTTTTATTATCACTCCAGAAGCCTTTGTTTTCAGTCCAAACAGTCTGAACAGTTGTCTAAACAGGAAAACTTAGAAATACAAACATGCAAGATATAACTGCAGTAATAAATCATGACACTTAACACTGAAACTCCACTTTGCTGTTGTCATGGCATTAACTGTTTTTTCCTTGGGCACTTGCATGCTTGGGAATAAGGGTATGCCACTTCATGTCATTCTGGGGTGGGGTGGGGTACTGAAAGTTCAGGCTAGGGACAAGGTCCTAAATATCATGAGTTTGCAGGGCATGATTTCTTTTTGATCAAGAGTCATAGATGAGCATCTAGGAGAATGTTCACTCAGAAACTGCAGGAAAAAAGTCCCCTAAAAGCCAGGAGTAGGTAAGTCCTCCCCCAGCTTGGAGGTGCCAGGACTGAGACAACAGTGGGATCCCAGGAACAAGCAACAGCCCAGCTGATGAACATCTCAGGGCTCCTGAAAACCCCTCAAAAATGTCAGCAGTGGAAGAAAACATGACCTGTGATTGCATTGTGCAGTTACTGCCCAAGGTTCACAGGTGAGGCAGGCTCCCACTGTTGCTCACTGGTTAGATAGCATCCTTCACGTTTCCCCTCCCTTCCTGTGTGCCCAGTCACAATGAGTTTACACACAAAATATGCCTCACCATAGTTATTTAGTCCGAGTCATTTTGTAGTAAATTGACAGCCTTTACAATAATTCCTATAAGAGAGACCCTTTAAAGAGACGTGTCAATCTGCGTGGAGACCTCATACAGCCTTCCAGTATCTGAAGGAGGCCTACAAGGATGTGGGGAGGGACTCTTCATTAGGAACTGTAGTGATAGGACAAGGGGTAATGGGTTCAAACTTAAACAGGGGAAGTTCAGGTTAGATATAAAGAAGAAGTTCTTTACTGTGCAGGTGGTGAGGCACTGGAATGGGTTGCCCAAAGAAGTGGTAAGTGCTACATACCTAGCAGTGCTCAAGGCCACGTTAGATGGAGTCTTGAGTGACACAGTTTAGTGTGAAATGTCCCTATACATGGCAGGGGGGGTGGAACTAGATAATCTTCAGGTCCTTTCCAAACCAAACTATTCTATGATTCTACGATACTTGGCATCTCTAAAATGTAAGCTTAAATTTGAAGCGTTTCTCTAATTTTGCTGGCAGAGAAGACATTGTTGACATAGCTGTCTTCCAGGTCCCAACATCAGCTTTGGAAGGGAAGTTAAATGGGATTATATCAGCATAAAACAGCCCATTAAGTAGCTTAGCTGTAATAGCAATAACAATAATAACTTCACATCTCACAATAGTGTGAATGTTAAAATCATAACTGCAATTTTGAGGGAAAGTTCACAACATGTAAAAAAATTTCCATGAATTCTGTACCCTTTCCCATAGAATAGAAAACACAAACATTACTAGCAGAAGACTAAATACTACTCATTCAGTGACTACCTTTTTACCACAAACTCATAACAGGAAATCATATTAGCTATTTCAAACAACCATTATCTGCAGTTAGCCTCTGGAAAGCAAGAAATCACCCTTTGCTAAAAGTATGGTTCCTTGAGAAACATCCTTAGAGATAAATACATTTCCTGAGTCATGTTATTTAAGACTGGGGAAGAGAGTGTGTGCAGACATATCATCCTGTGTTTTGCAATACTTCGGACATTAAACGCAACCACATATATTCATAGCCTGTGTCTGGGTTTTTTGGGGAGGGAAGTTTTGTGATCTAATATACTTGCATTTTATCAAACTATTTTGCTTATGTGATATCCTAGGTTTATTTCTGGGTCTGATATTTCCAAATTATATTATCTTCAGTCAGAAATTAAGCACAATTTACCAGTGCCCCATTCTCAGAGGCTACAAGAGAATATACTGCAATGCCATCCCACATGCAAATAAAGGAAAAGAGTAAGTCTCCAAGTTATATGGTGCACATGGAAACAAATGCTGGCTTTTGAATGAAAAGTCTAAAGTATCCAAGAATGATAAACATCTCTAGGCTGACCTCAAATCCAATGGCATCTAGGGAAAACCTCTTGAATTTCTGGACTGTTACAGTCAGTAGCAAATCACACTGCTAGCCAAGTGGTAACTTTGCTAAATGTCTTCTGTCTAAACACATGGGGCAATCTCAGTGCAAATGCACGGAAGATCTTTAGAATTGTGTCAGAGGTGAGGGGTTTTTAAACGTTACAGCCAGGGCAGAAATTTCCAGAACTGGATAAAACTATAGAGATAGATATCACAACCAACGGCCTGAACAGATGCTCCCTTGCTGGTTTAAATTCCTTAGGGTGCTGTCACAGGTCAGACAGGGCCAACACAACACATGCTGGCCTATGGGTTGCCTGTCGCCCTTCCCCACTTGCTCTCCTGCAGGCACTGCAGCAACCCTTCAGGGACACTCTTCTGGTCCCGCTTTCTCCAAGATGGGGGCTGATTCCAAGGAGCAAAGATAACGTCTGGCCCAGACTGGGGATTTTTCAGCTCCTTGCAGCTCTTCAAGACTCAGGGAAGCAATGTTCTTTTTTTCTCCCCACCTTCTCGTCCTGTCTCCTCACTGAACCATTCCACCCATCTTTCCAATTTACACTGGGGCTTGACTGTATTCTTTTTAACAATTTGCACTACCACAACATCAGAGCACTGCTCCTTGAGGGCAAGAATTTCTACCTAGAATAACGGGAGAAGTATCTGCTGGGCAGGTCTCTTCTCAAAACTTCCTCTATCACCCTCACTTGCCCGCCAGGCAGGTAGTCAAAGAGAGCAAAAAGAAAAGAGCTAAAAAGCAACCAGGAAAACACTTCTGAAGACATGAGGTCATTGACAATATTCTTGTGGATCAGCTTTGTTTCTTGCTCATGACCGCTTTGCAAAATCAAAGTATAAAAGCTGAAAAATACACTGACCCACCAAGAACATTATAAGATAAACCATACTTTCAGCATATCTCAGTCACAGTTGTTTTATATTCCACATTTTTATAATCATTAGCGGGTTTTAAATATTTAGATCTACTCCACAGAAATCATACTTAGTTTGGGCCTAGCTAGTGTATACTTGCTATAACACACTAGGCATTTTCCTGCCATTTTCCTCTGTCTTATATAGTGCTTACACTATAAGGAAATCTTTTATTCATTTTGTACATTTATCTAAATACAGTATTCAGAACAAGAAATTCAAGCATATGTAGCCAAAGAAAGAGAAAATGCTAAGTTGCCTTGAAACCTATTTTAAGCCTGAGCCAGAATAAGAGGGTCTCTTATGCCTTAAGAGAGTGCTAATCGTTGAAGCATCTAGATTCAAAGTACTGTATATTCTAGGCTGGAAATATTCAGTATCTGCTGCTGCCTTCAGGCAATGAACTTTGATAATTTAGAATCTTGAAATAGAGAAAACTAATTCACTATCTGGATTTTAATAGCTTTTGGTGACAGACTTCTATGTGACCTAACAACCATTATAAGATTAGTCGGACAAGTAAAAATCCACTTCCTAACTTTTGTCTGTAAATGGCATTTTATTTACAGTCACATAAACAGACTGAGTGGAAGAAAGGAAGCCAGAAACAAGCCTAAAGCTTTTGAAGGCCCCTCTGAAGACTTAAAAAGCAGCAGTTTCCCTCCACTGATTGGGTAAGGGGCTTGGGTGCTTTGGGTTAAAGCGGACACCTTCATCAAGCAGAATAGCACCCAAAAACCTTCAGACATGAAAAGTTAGGAAAAAAAATCATCAATGGGATAGATAAAAGGATTCCTTTCCAATAAACTCCATTATCCCTTTGCATTGTATTTTTTTCTGGGAATTCCCATGTTTCAGCAACTGCATTATTGCAGTGTATACCTGCAGAGCTACAA